TGAATCCGGCCGCCATCAGCTTTTGTGATTTCTTTTTAATCGCGCCTTTTTGTCGGTGAGAATCGTCAGTAGCCACCGCTTTCTGAAGCTTTGAGTTTTCATTAACATCAATTACAGGTCACCAACTCTCTTGGGACACCGCATGTCGGCCGGCTTCCAGCGAAGATATCTTTGTTGTCCCAAGAAAGTTGGTGAGCGCGAGTTCTATTTTGCCGAGAGGTGAGCACCGATGGTTGTTGTCTTGGAGGTATCGCCAATGGCCCAAATCGATTTGCTTTGACGTCGGCTTCTTTTGGTGGTGTGATGATGCTTTGGGTTTTTAGCCGGTATTTCTAATTCTTCTTGGCTTATCTCTGCGCAGCAATTGTGGCTATTTGTTTTCTCCCATTGTCGGCTGTGCTTTTGCCGCTGCAATTTGGATTGCTGAACATCGCAATCAAAAGCACGCTTCAAATCGCTTCAAGAGAAAGGATACCGTTGGGTCCTCGCATCTTAAGCAATAAGTACGGGTAATGTGGTATTGCCATGAATTTTGCCGATCTTTGGGCGTCCGAGGATCGCATGATATGATTTAATCGAAGTCTGCGACCTCAAATTTGATAAACTCGCTCGATAGTTCGCAGGAGTTCCAAAAGTGATGTGGGTAAAGTAACTTGTCCGAGTGGCATGGCTGCTTTGCGGGTACTATTCCGTAAAAGGGGATGCTTGTTGGTGTAATCATCTCAAATGAGTTGTAGTCCCATCTTCCTTAGTGTTTCGAAAAGATGATGTTGAGTCCAGCTCCCCATCGATTAGTACTTTGGTGACAGTCATACCGCAATAGTTGGGTCTAAAACCGGTAATGGCCTAATGCTGCGTTCCTCACGCTAGTCCATTGGTCTTCTCTTGAAAATTGGATTGGATATTGTGACCAATTGAGATATCTTGGTGTAGCCGGTTCTGCTTGTCATGATGGTTCGTAGTGCTAGTTTTTCTTGACGTTTGCTTGTGCAACTGGGGCCCTGAGAAGATTATCGCTCTCGTTCCCGGTTTTTGAAATCCTTTGTCCTCGTGGTTGTCTTCATCTTTCTTGTGATTGTCCTCTTTGGTGTTCTCCTTACTATCTTTTCTCGTATCGATCATTGAAAGTGTAGCGCTTTCGATGGTGTGTCTCCGTTAGGGTGTAATGGGCAACGATGTTTTCAATGTCTTCATATCTTTTGGGTTTGGAGAACTTCTTTGACTTGTCGGCCATTGCCACGGTATTGTCCGGTCTCGCTTTCTTTCTTGATGTCCATTATTTCGATGATTTTGCCTATCCGGGTTGTCTTGGTTGCTTCTATCCGGAACCTTTCTCGTGTTTTTTCTTTTGCAAAGTAATCATTTTTTCTCTTGTTCGTCCGAATTCTTCATTGTTTCTCGGATTTTCTTTGCGTAAGTCTTGAAATTGCCACCTAGCCATGATTCCGTGAGAGAAAGCTTCAATTACTTCTCGCTCGGTGATGTCATGCACTTGAGCCCGCAGCTTCACCGAATCGCCGATAGTAATTTCGAGACTTTCGCCCCCTTTTGCTTGAGTCCTTTTAGTTCGGCATGAGTGATCGGGTGTGTGATGATACTGCAAAATTTTCGCAGAAAGCTTTTTTGCAAGTCTTCCCAAGTTCGATCGATCCACAGGTTCAATTTATCAAACCATTGGAGGGCATCGTTTCAAAGTGCATGGGGGAAGAACAAGGTTTTGATATCGCTCGTCTCCTCCGGCTAGTTCAATTGATTGTGAATATATTCTGAGCCATTGTCTTGGTTCAGTTTTGCCATCATACTTGGAGTGATTAGACGGTTTGAATTTGTGAGGTAATCGAACTGATGCCAACCTGTTTGCAAAACAGGGAATCATCATGCGCTCCGCTTCCTTGAATTCGGATTCGGCTCCTTCTTCCGCCAAGTGTTGTTTTGATGGGAATAATTCTGCGAGGCTGTCTGGTAGGCCCTCTACTCCTGGTCTTCCTTGGTTGTTCAAATTGATGGCCCCGACTATGTTCCCTCCTACTTTCCCCGTTATGGCTTCCGCCTGGTCCAAGTCTTTCAAAAGCGGACTTCCTTTGATTTTGATCTTCTTGCCTACGGGTTGTTGATCTGGCAGGTATTCTTGATCGGGTTCTCTCTTCATGCGTTCTTGGGATCGCTGACCGAGCAAGTCCTGAGCTGTTCGTATTTCTCTCCGTGATGTGAAGTTGCCCCGAGTTCTTCTAATGCTTCTCGAATCTTATCGTAAGGCGACTCCACCGTATGCGTCTCTCTTGACCTCTTGTTGTGATTTTCTTTTGTCGATTCACCAATTCGACTCAGATCCGGTCCAGCTTCTCTCTGCCGAGCGCGGTGTCGGGCGCCTTTGTTTCAACTTGTTTTTCCTTTCTCTAGCTGCCTCTCGACTCTCGGTTTCTCCATCGTAGCCCCGAGCAAAGGGTGATATGTTGGATTCGATTCATCCGATGACCTGACATTGGGTGCTTCGGGGTTTAATGGTGACCGAGGACGTGAATCATCGCGCACTTCCCGAGCGTGAGCTGTTCCGTTATTGTCGTTAGTTTTCATACCGGTCCGGAGTTGCTTGATGACTTCATTAGCGCTCGACGTCGAGATTGAGTCCCCTCTTGGTAAGGTAGAATAGCCGTTGTTGTTGTGCCGACTAGTTGGGTTCCGCTATCCTCGAGAACGGATCCTCGCCATGGATGATACTGATCTTGCGATGTTATCGTTAGAACAAGACCCTCCCGAGCTCCTCGCTGCTGGTATCCCAAGTGTTGATTTGAAAGACCTTTCAAACCGTCCCCTCGATATGATTTTGTCGTGTTGTCCAGTCCAAATGTAAAGAACTCGGCCTTTTGAAAAAATTCGAGGGTAATCCGAGTTGTTTTGGGTTGTATTCTAGAATCTTGCCAAACAAGAACTCGACTTCTTGAAAGCACTCGAATAAGACTTCATCTCGATATACGGAGCTTGAATTGAGTCGGATCACGCGGTAGTCAGGAATCTTATTCGAATCGGTATTATGAGTTGCGCGAATCTTCCGATGAGTGATCCGTCGTGAGTTGTCGAAATAGAGGATTCTTCATGATGATCCGGATCTTTGAGGAGATGACTTTGAAGCGTCGTCAGAGTTTATTCCGCCTCGCAGATCCACGAGTCAAGATGAAAATCGATCCCGTCGGGAAGATCATGTTATTGAGGTCCATCGAGGTCTCGGATGCAAAGTCGCCGAAAGCCCCCTACCGCGCGCGCCAAATTGTCGATGTTTTACCATCGATAGCCCGCCACAGGGTACCGTGGCGATATAGTTCGAACTTCGCGTATGTTGAACTCGATGGTGAACGCAAGAGACAATCGATTTATCTGGTTCGGCCCTCGATCATAGATCGAGTAACAACCCTACGTCCAGTCAGCGTTTGCCTTTTGCGTTGGATTGATTATGAAGTGTTATGTCGTACCATTGTTGTTCAGGAGCCCTGCCCTCCTTTATATAGTCAAGAGGCCAGAGTCCTAATCGGTTTACAATGAGATTTCCTAGTAGGATTACTTAATAGTTCTATTACTAAGATTACATGGGAAGAATCCTAGTTGAACTAGATCTTCTCTCTCTCTTGCGGGGTATCCTGTGGGTCCCGCATCGACAGGCACCGACGGCGGCGGATCTAGTGCGGGACCCGCCCGCGTGGGGATGAGGGAGGGGGGCCGCTCGCGCCGGCACGCTTGCCCACAGGGGCGCCGTCGCCTATGTCCGCCGCCGCCTCATCCACGGCGCTTCTTCCCTTCCTGGCCGACCTTCTCCGCCTCAGCTGTGCCGTCTCCGACCGAGCGCCGACCGGATCCGGCCTGGCTGCACCGCGCCCCGGCGAGCGCCTGAGAAACCGGTGGTCCCCGGCGACCTTCTCCACCTCAGCCACGTCATCCGCCGCGCCTGGTCTAGGCCGTCCGCTCGCGCCGATGTGGTGGCCGATGCGCACGGCGAGGGGCACGACCGCACGGTGGAGGGGGATCTCGCAAGGGGGAGAGAGCGATTGGAGGCGTGACTTACGCGAGCGATGAGGTAGAATTTTTTTCGCACGGGCAAAGGCAGAGCGATAAAGCGAGCGAGGTATCGCACGGGCGTGGGCAGACAGACGAACCAAAACAAATGTCGCACCAAAAAATATCCTCGCTTTGTTCTTTTTAGTTGTAGGAGATATTATATTACGAGCAGTGGAGGACAGGATCACAGGAGAAGCAACTATATATGAGCAGTGATCGTTCATGCTCACATACGGGATGGACACAGATGGTCAGGTCATGTGCATCACGAGCGAGTGTCTCTGTGTGTGTACACGGATGACCACCACCACGATTCACGAGGGAGGCGTCGTCTCGTCAGAGCTCCAGCAAGCGCTAGCAGTTGTGGCCACATGGTTGAGCAGGCATCGTGGTCCATGTTATTTTTATTTATGGTCGCCAGGGAATCTGACCGAACGCTGTGTCTTTCTTTATGGCGACACGTACACGGGATCTAACAAGTGGACCCAGCCATGGGGCGCTCACGAGGAGCGTCTGCAGTCTCCGGAGTGCAGACGTTGCATCGTCCTCTCCTGGCCTCCTAGGCTTCGACTTCTCATGGCCTCTCCTGCCGCGCCGTGAGGGATGGCGCCGCGGCGCCGCGCCAAGATCGGTGGCGCGGTAGACCCTGCCACGTCACCGGTCAGCGTCCCGGTCGTCGCCACGTCATCCCTCTCTCCGCGCCACCATGCATGGCGCGGCACAGACATTTCGCCGCGCCAGGGAAATAGACGCGGCCAAAAGTGTTAGTTTTGGAGAGAAAAACAGTGTTAAATTTAAAATTAGTTTACAAAAAGTGTTAAAAATAAATAAAAAAATCCTCCCTTGTCCCAGTCGATCACTGGACGAACCTCTAAAACCTGCAGCGTTGCAAAAGATTTTTCGTTAAATCTTGAAGCAATTATCAAAATTTATGACAGTCATGGTAGAATAATCTAGGCTCCTACCATTCGCCCATTGGTTACTTCGAGACGAGGAAAGGCCTCCAAGACTTGGTTTACGAGTCCTGCAACCACTTTCCAGTCCTGAAAAACAATAGCATGAAACTCTCAGATGAATTTGCTAACTCTTTCTTGTATGGTCTGATGCATCCTAGTAAGAGGACGTCTGAAGCCGGAATTTCATCCATTTCTCTAAAAAAAAGGAAAGAGGCAGAAGCCCTGAAAGTTAGTGGCACACAATCTCACCTTCTCTGCTACGTTGCGGTAATGTACAGATACACAGAACTTGTTGTTCTCAACCCTTGCACCTTCAATTCCACTCGTGCCCTCCAAGAGGGACTTGGAAACCTATTGTAGAAGTTGTGGCTCAGCATTAGTACGAAGATTTGATAGATTACCCATCAAGAACAGATGCAGAATTCCAGATAGCTCAAATAGATATATTGTGACCATTTAGACTAAGCAATGGAGTTTGTTAGTGCAGTAGTTATAAAATAAACACACCTCATCAATCATAGGAAGAAACTCGCAGGCAGGTTGGAAGAGATTGGCTTCTTTGCACTGCAAGTAGAATTCACGGGACTGTAAGTATTGTGCACGTAATTGTATGCCAGTGAATAAGGAAAATGTTGAATTTAGTGCTATGAGCAAGAAGGCCTTACCTTTTCAGTACCATGTGCTGCTACAGATGTCACTATGTCCATCCCATGACTCCCAGCGTAGTATAGTTCCTTCAGTTTTACAAATTCAAACACCTACACGAAAATGAGAGTTGATAGATGTCAGATCAGACAACTTGCATATAACTAGTGTCTTCAGGCTCATACAGTAATACATGCAAACGTATAATTGCTCATGAAAACATGCAAAGATATCATTAGTACCTTCTTACGGGACCTTCCACTGACAATTGCAGTAGGGAAGTACTTTGCAACATTTCTGACAGCAGCTCGCATCTGAGAAGGTTTCAGGCAAAGTATAAGCAGTTGTGCATTGATCAAGTAATGCTAAGTACTTAGAACAGGCTGTTCTGATTTACCACAGGGGACATGAATGCTTTGTCGGGATCGTCAACGATTGGCGACAGGGTACCGTCATAATCCAAGAACACAGCGATCCTCCTGCCTTGTGCATTGGCCACTATCTGCTTCAAGGAGGTCAACGCAGAAGGGCATTTTGACTGCAACATCAGACCCCATGAGTACACCATGCATTCATGTTCAGAGAAAGTACGTCGCCGTGAACTGCATAATGCAACTTACCAGCCATGAACTGTAAGCAGGATCTTCGTCGAGTGAATTATCCTGCCAAAGGCAAGATTGTGCTTCCTGCGAGACGACGAGGATTTCATTGCATCTAGCAGGCCATTAACAAGGACCTCCTCGATTTTACGCCTACTGGCGCTCATACTAGGACTGGAGCAACCTCCGGACATGACTGAAAACGGCATCAGGTTTGATGTCAGGCCTCCCAACAGCGGTGGGCTTATCGATATCGGATCGGTGATAACAGGTGAGCTGCTGCTCATATCCATTGGGATTCAATGAAGAGAAGATCTGTGTGGTAGAGTGTTCTTTTGTTCCCTGAACTGAATTTAGCCTACTGTCTTGTCGATGAAAAACCACTTCTTCAGCGTTTTCTTGTCGTTGCAGGTGTGGAGGCAGTTCATCAGCAGCAAAATACCTGAGAACTGATGATCAGAGAAGAAAAAGATAATGTCAGAGAAAGTGCATCAACTCTATGAGAAAGGAGTTTAGGTGGCTTAGGATATGTTCTGAACCTTCTCATGTTCAGAACAAGGAAACATCTATATCAGGAATCCGGAGCGCTTCATAGGGATGGCCATAAAAGTCCAGCTCTATGGCACTTTGATATTCAGAAAGTTTCACTGCACAAATTAAGGAGAAACTGAGCAAAACATTTGCAAAATTAAAGCCTGTGGTCATCAGCGCAGTTAGCAACTTAGCGTAAGTCACTAACATGCACTATCTCCTACTTTACTCTTTATTTTGGACATTAACAAGGTACGTGTAATACACACTTTTGACACAGTTTTAGGGGGGACATATATTCGAGAAAACAATATTAAAAGCGTGATGTCATAGAAAACGTGCCGAAATGTTTTATTTCACAAGTTAGATTCATTTGTTGAAATTTCAAAAGGTTGACTATACATACATTTTACAATCAATAAAGAAAGGAGCTATAACTAAGGCCATGTGTGCTTGGGCCCATAGCTAGCTTAATGTCTTGATGAGTGTTCTGACCAAGAGTTATGTTAGGTAAACCTAACCTATGTTCAGTATGCAATTTAATAGGTGCGACAAAGCAGCTGTATTGCTATAATTAAGAATATATGAGAACGTCAGCTGTACTATGTAATAGCAAAATTGTGATGTAAGCACAAGAACGCAGTGTTCTCCGAAACAGTAAACGGTAAATAGTCGGTCATTTGCCGTTTAACCTTTATTCGGGCTAAACACCACCTAAACATGTAAAACGGCCGTTTAGACAGGATAAACTGTCAATTAAACAGAAACACAAACGGCGTACCACCTGATTTAAACGATGTGTAAACGGACTAAACAACCATTTAGACGAACAATACAGGAACATCATGCTGCAGATCTTTATTATTTGAGAAAAATTGTCATGAAAACTTTTAGATAAAGAAAATATTTTATGAATTACTTGCAAAATATTAGGTGAGAACGTTGACATTGACTTCTTTCGAGAGAAAACAGGCACGCAGAGAAGAATGAAAACAACCACTCGTTAAATGGGCAAAAGTCGTTGTATACGCGTGGTGACAAATTAAACCATAATGCATGCATCCTTGCTACGGCATGTCCAGAATGAATTTTTATCGTCAAGGTCAAGAAGGATACTAGTACTAGACTTCAAAGGGGGAAAGGAAGGAACAGGTCAAGAAAAGAGAATGAGTGAATGACCCTTCTTTTCAATTTCAACAAAATGAAAAGAGAATGAATGACCCGGTGCGTGCCTTTGAATGCAGTCACGCAGAAGCAAAACAACAGCATCTCTCCCACTAGGGTAGCTGTAGATCAACAGATGGGAAGTTGTTCCAAGAACTGTTGGCGGCTTGAGTCCTCTAACGGAATCATAGGTTGCATTTGTCTCTGGCAGGTGGGTCTGATGAGCATCAGGCTCACCAGTAGGTGACAAAGACACAAGTAAATCGATCTCATGCCCCCCTCTAACAAGTTCTGGCCATGAGATATTTTAACGCAAATTTTCAGATTTGACACATTTTTGTAGGCTTGTGGCATTTCACATATCATCTGCGGACCTACATGGGAACCATCAAATAATTGAGCCAAATTCTCCCCCACAAACAGAAATAATGCATCTCTTGTTTTGCAGGAAGGGGTACTGTAGTCTGTACACTTTTTGTGCCCAAATCTTGCAGAAGAAAAACATGAACGAACGAACTCCCAAGAACATGGGACAAATATTGCATTCCAAAAAGAAGTAATCAAGACTGCCGAAATTAAAGATTCCTACTAGGAGAAGGAGATGCACACCTTAGTGAAGGGCCTGAATTGCACGCGAGATGTGTGTGATGAGGCAACGGGCAACCCACAGAGAGAGGAAGAGGAGAACGGAGGACAGGAGAATGGCGTGGATGCAAGGGGCTATATATAGAAGAGGGGAAGGAAGGAGGAGAAGAAATCTTTGAAGAATTCAATGACGCTTGCTTGTTCTGTTACGGGGTAAATTGTTAGGAACCCTCCGCTTGGAGTCCACAGGATTTTGCGTACGTGATGCCAAAACTCTTCTTTGCATTAGATGGTTTTTATATTAGAAACTCAAAGGTTTTGTGTTAAATATTATGTTATGTTATATTTTGATGCACTGAATGATTTCCTAAGAAAAAAATATCAAAGAAAGACATCATTAGTAAATATGTACGTATTGTTTGAATATTTTGAGTTACACAAAAAAAATGGCCTGCAGTCTTCACATACAATTGTGTCCTTTTATAGTTATTTCAATGATATCACTAAACTATAGACCATCCTAATTCAAAAAAAAACTATAGACCATCCATTTTTGTAACTTCCAAAAGTCACGCATTTTTTCATGCCAGTGTGAATCCTCATAAGTGGAAAACTATGTGTCATGCTTTTTGTGTGTAGCTGAGCGCTCATGCTATTTTTTTAGATATATATTGTACTCTAACCAACTCATATGTTTATATTATAGCAGTGTAAAATGGGAAATTAAATATTCATATCTATTTTCAACCTTTATTTAGTATGTATCTTGAAAGTACATACCGGACTTTTGTAGATATAATATGAAAAACGATAGTACATTGATCACTTGAAATTCATGTGTTGAGCCATTGAGAGAACAAAGAGAAGTTAGGCAATATCATTTGCCCTGTTCGTTTGACTGATAAGCCATAGCTGAAAGTACTGTTGGCTGATTTGTTGTGAGAGAAAAATATTGTTCGTTGGCTAAAAAAGTATGGCTTATAAGCCAAACGAACATGGCGAATATTGTCTCCAGTCGGGGCCCACTGCAAAAGCGCCCCGGGTGTCGCCCACCACTGACAATAGGACCACGCAACCCATGTCACCCTCAACCGTAGCCGCGTCCTTCTCAGGAGCTGGCGTCGCATCAGTGTCGACGCGCCGGGCCCGCCACGGTGGAGGGAAGCCGGCCTCACCAGTCACCACTAAAGATGAAAACGGACGGGGTGAAATCTGTTCCGTCCACAACCCTATACCATATTTTCCCGTTCGTTTTCGTTTTTTACGGTATAAACGAAAACGGGACTGAAAATGGGACGGGATACACCGGGACCGGGACAAAAAACGGTTGAGCGTTTTTCCGTCCATATTGCCGGTATCTCGTTTTTGACCGGGATATTCCCGTTTTCATCCCGTTTATATGTTCACCGGGACAAGCGCAAAGGCTTGAGCCGAGCCGTGCCGAGCGGGCGGTCAACCAGACTTGCTTCTGCAGTTTGCGCTGTTCGGCTGCATGCAGAACATAACGTTACTCGTAACTCATACATGTATTTAACAAAGAAAAAGTCTTGTACATGTATGTTACGCGAAAACATGTGTCAAATGTCTCTTTTTTCTATGTGCTATGCGTGAAAGCTGCCTACCATAAAAGGGTTAAGCACAAAAAGATTAAGCATGGATATACACACCTGTATTTTAGCAAGTGACGTACACGCAAACGTATCTGAAAAAAAATGTTTAAAAATCATCTTAGCATGATATGTCACGTTATCACAAACATAGCAACATTAGTTTGTTGATTACAATTTACATCATGCATGCAAGTTAGATCTAATAGGATATGGAAATTAGATCTAATTGGAAGATATTTTACCTATTTTGATAATATATATTTCTGCATTCTATTACCTCCAAGAAGGTAATATGCGATAAAAATCATCTAGATCGACGCTCACATTTATTTGGGAATATCGGAGCAAGCCCTTTGGTTTGGCATACGTGGCATGCAGTTCCGGCTTAAGTTCTCGCATACCGTCCGTTCCGTCTATTTTCCGGTCGTATTTATTCGTTTCCGCATTACCGTTTATCTCGTTACCGTTTTCGCTCCTGGTTATCCGGCTGCCGCTCCTGTTTCTGTTAAAAAAATATACCGTCCGTTTCCGTCCTTAGTCACCACACCATCCACGGCCACCTCGGCATGGCGTGGCCCGCCCGCCCTCGCCGCGGGCGGCGGGCGCCAGGAAACAACCACCTCGCGGAGTCGCGGTGCGGCCGCGTCCACGATTACTGACCTACAAAGTGCTGCTGCTAGTGCTGGTGATCGTGGTCGGCTGGTCGCCCGAGTCGCCCCCGCGCCCGCGCACGTTTAGGGCGGCATCCGCGGCGCTGGCTGGCGCGCGTCGAGTCGAGGCCGCTCACGCTCACGCTCAAGCTCACGGGGCGGCAGCGCGGGCTCGTTCGCTTTAGCACTTTACTGCCTGTACCGCGACGGCTCCGCTGAACGGTGGAGACCGAGTGCGGCGTCGCCGTCGCCGACGCGACCGCCGCGAAATGCGGCACATCGGCCCTCATAAAAATACACATGAAAGGGTCTCGCCCGCCCGCCGTGGCTGTCCGCAGCACGTGGTCGTCTCGAGCACGACGGCAACTTGCAGTAGCCTGTCTTTTCAGTCCGTCTTCCACAGAAGGGGGCTTGCAACTTGCGGCGGTTGATATTGCAGCGATGCCACTGTCAGTCGAGCAAGCGCTGCGCCGGCGAGGTCAGAGAAGAGATGCCAAATGCGCCTCAGGGACACCACAGCAGCTGTTTCGTGCCTGAAACCCGACCAAGAAGATGAGATAAACAAATGCTGATGACAATCTTGTGCCGATAAACAAGGCATTGTATATAGGCAAACTGAAACTATAAGCTAAGGAGCTCAAGTGTACTTAAAATTCTCCAATGGCCAATTAGGAGTCACTGATACTCCTATGTCTCGCCGACGCCGGGACCATGCAAGAGATTCGATAGCATACCTGTGTCAACAGTGTCACGAAACTTCTGTGCTCCATAAAAAGTACGCACAAAATACAACAGAGTAATGGAATCTTAACTGGTCGGTGGCTAGCCAATTTCATGCAGATGCTAACCCAAGTCATTATAAACGAACGTGCGACATCTTTCAATCTTTCATGCATCACCTTTCGTTATTCATTGCATTGCCCAACTAAAAGATTTTTGGTATCACGTCAATTCGCAGAGGGGTTAACACTGAAGCGTCACTGCTGGCGACATGGTTCCTTGTGGGGAATTGGAGTCCGAGTCGGATGCACGAGGGCGCAGCTGCCCACAGGCTGCTGCTGCTAACGTTTTCGAGTCGCTCACCACCACCTAACGCCCAACTGGCCACTGCCAAGACAGAAGCGAAGAACATGAGCTCTGGTGAGCATCGGTTATGAAAACTTGCATATTGTGAACAATTGGCAGCCATTGTATATGTACCCAATTGTATCTAATAACTGGAAGAAGAGTTTCAAACAATATTATATGCACCCAATCGCTTGGTTTGGTTCTCACTGCCTCAGCACTTGCTAGCCCATCTCGTGCTTCCCAAAGAAAGATGCCTGCATGATCAACAGGCACAAGCAGTCAGTACGTAGTAAGTAGTCAATAGTAGGCTCTGAAATCCTTCACGCAGCATTCCAGATGTACTGATTCTTCAGTTACGAGCAGCATAGATGAATCTAACGACCAACGACAATATCAGCACCAATAGGAGCAGGACATGAAGTGTTGTAGTAATATGTCCATCCAGAACTTATATGAACAATGTTGTGTGCTCAACAAGAATATGATTGGCCAGGAAATATTACTACATTTGAACATCTGTTTGTTCTGTGGTAGTTCGGATAAGTATGGAGCATAGATGACTAAACAAGTGAAACTTGCAAAGATTCTTTGGCAATATCGTCTTAGTATACCTTATCATGATTACAAACCCCACATGTCCTGTAATAAAAACAGACAAATGCGATGCAGGGTCCTGTAATAAAACAGACGAATGCGATGCAGGGTTCAGTGTTTCCTCTTGTCACGTTGCAAACAAACCCACGCGACAAGAAGCAACAGCTTGCACTATACCAGCATATGGGTGCGGGGTTTACTAGGGAAGGCTCATGACTGCAACTGAAAGTCAAGGCTAGGCTGTACGACAAATTGGTGCAAGTGCAACTTGGCAGATCAGAAAAGAACTCAATGTGCAGTTCATCCCTCCTTTGCTCTGACACCTAAATGTGCATATGAAGGATATTCCCTTCTGATGTGCTTATATTAATACAAAGATTATATAAGACCCTAACAGCTTTAACATGGTGTTAAAACATGCCATCCTCGGTGAATGATTCATGAAAAGATACACAAATGTAAACATATGAAGACACCATGAACAGTTGGACACTTTGCAACTAAAAAAAGAATAAAAAAGAGAGCCGCCCGTAGATTACCTCTTTAATGCGAGGAGACCGCGACTCGAACCCGGGACCTTCCGGTCACATGCGGTAAGACTCTACCGCTTGCACGCGGGACACTTTGCAACTAAATAAAGAATAAAATGCAAACGGCAACCAGTTAGTGTTTACAGTAGGAAATTTTCATAGCTTAAAAGGAAAAAATGTAGATTTAAGAAAACATGTGTGAAAGAAATGAACCGCCACTTGATTACCAACAATTTAAAAGAACATCAACAAGTGTCGTATACATTGGTATGAACCAAGCCAGAGAACCAATTTCTGACCTTAAGGAAAACAACACAAACTCATGAACACTACTTCAGCGAGATCAGCTGTAAACTTATAATCACCTGTATGTGCAACTGCCAGACTGGAAACTACATGAACCCCAGAGGGCTTTATTCCAATGTAGGGCCATTCCACCAATGGATCTACTATGTGAATATCGGGACCTTTGGGTGCACTTATGGAGACCACCACCTAACACAGCAGTGCTCTGTTCACATGTCACATGGAAGAACTGTAAAGATACTGTTCTTTATGACCATGACAAGTTCCTGATGCTAACCAACACAGCCTTCATTATTTACTTAGTATAAGACTCTAGATCACAGGTTGAACTTACATTGGACCACCAGTATCCAGTATACATATTATTTGCACTACTATGAATTCTTGCTACTCTGGACCACATAGAGCATAGAATTCTGTGCTGACTTGCCTTTTTGAACCAAATTCTACATGCTACAACTGGTCCAGTTCTTGATAAATAGTTCTTCAGGCTAACACAGATAAATGTAGCCCAGCGGCAAGAATACAATTATACAAAGGAAGGTCAAAAGGAGAAGTAGAACTGTTGCCAAGGAAGCATTGAAGAATCTATGTTATTACATCTTAAGTGTGCACCAACAATATTACAAGTATATCTTATTACATCTTGAAACATGCTACTATTTGTTGATCCTACAATCATGTTCAAGCACGTATATATGGCTGGCACTTGATCCAGATCTGAACAAGCCAATATTAAAATATTTATAGAATCAGAAATGGTAGTTGATTCTAGAGACAACTTTCCCAGCCATCTGTGGAAGAATTCATCCCACACATAAGTTAGGCTTACCAAAAAAATGAGAACAGAACAATAACTCGATTGGTAGTTCAGGCCCTAACCCAGGATGGAACCTAATAGGTTCAGAGGTGTCATCAGGTCATGTTTGTACCTCCCTAAATGGTTCGATATTTCCCTCTGATAAGACAGGATGTATTCTCCCATGATCAAGTTTTTTATTTAAGGTTTACCAAATGTTGTGTCAGGTCAGACATTTCGGGTAAACTTTGCTGTGCTCCTCTTTGAAGTGACGAGTACAGTAATAATATTTTTTTGTGATGTGTTCTATAGTCAATACCTTTCTCAGCAGAATAATACACTACATGAGCACGGCACATGAATCAGTGATGTTGTTCTTTGTGGTATTTTAGCTGGTGATATAAACGTTTTACCTTGAAATAGTGCTCGGTTTAAGTCAAAGCACTAGTTTTCTTAAAGCTCTACGAACCAGATTATAACTAGCAGAAGTCCCTACCAAGCACTTGAAAACAAGCATCCCCAGGGCAGTGAAATTGACAATTACATTTGATCATTATGTAAACATACAAGTGTTTTCCCTAGAAGGGAGATGTGTGAGTGTTGGGCTTATAGTACCAAAAGCCTTGTGTATTATCAATGAAAAACAGCATGCAAATATCTTTGCTACTTCAAAAGATTGTAGTGGTGGTGGTAGGTTGTCCTACTTAACTTTGGATAGTTTTCTCAAGATTAATTTGTGTATGCATGTGCAAGTTCCACTAAGGATCCTCTATGAAGGATAGATCTGGGCACAGATCTATTCTATCCATGTGATTTATCAGAATCCATGTCTTCATGATCCATTGGAAGTGTTACATGTAATGCCTAGATCAGATGTAATGATCTATATTATGTTTGAGATTTGTTACAACCAAGGCAATAGTGTGCTAATGAAGTAGGACCCACTATGTGCAGCTTAGCGGATAATGGCACAATTCCTAGTAAAGTTGATGATTCTGAGAATATATTTTTTTGTACCCACAATTTAGTAAGTGATACTACAGAATTATATGATTGATTACGAAACTAGAACTTGAGTAGAGCCATAGAAGTAATAGTTACTCCTTACTAATAGCTTAAACAAGTGCTGGTTGTAACCAGCTAAACTGCCAGTGATGATAATTTCATAGCTGGCTATACTTTCAATTGATGTATTAACAGTAGGCGGCAAATATTAGGAACCTCACTTAATGCCTCTGCTACCAGAGGCATAAATACTTGTTACAGAATACTAGTACCATGCTAGAGCATTGAAACAATGTACCAAACAAATCGTATGTGTTTGGAGGCAAATTGATGGATCTGGACAAAGAGGCACTTAAACAACAATACCTAATAACTACGACAACATTGAAGCACTGCTGTCGTTTTCTTTATCATCTGTAGTGAAATTATCTGGTGGCATATTACTTATATGTATGGATTACGCTTGAGACCCATTTGTCTAAGATATGGTGAGTTGCCATCCTATTCATCTAGCAGGCAGCAAGTATTTTCAAATTACTTTTTACTGTAATGTACTCCACATCAAGTAAAAGTGCATAAGAGGCAATTAAAACTGATTTAAAAAGGACTGGCATAGGAAAACATTGGCACTACAAGCAACCAGTGCAAATGAGATCTCAGTTTCAGACATAAAAGATACTACTTGTGAGGTCATACTGCAATCCAGGCAATTATCTCCAATACAATGATGAGCAGCTGTCCTAAAGAAGGAAAACAAAATCAGGCAAAACTTCCACAATGAAACAAGTGCAGTGTATGTCACTCAATACCTGCATAAGTCAATTTTAAATGTCACGAAACAATATTCATGCAAGCAAACTTTAATGGGGTGTTTGGTTTGAGGAATGAGGTGCACCTTCGCACTGACATTTTTGTCTGATTTTGGAATGAAATCAGTTGATCCATCACCATGTTTCCCTCACAAAGTTTCATGGTTAGCTTAATAATGAGGAATGGTTTAATCCCATTAAAATTCATGGGATGAGATGACCCCATGATGGACCATTCCATTCTAGATGAGGTGATTCCTCAAACTAAACACCCCATAGACTATACATGTGTTGTCTGCAACATACACAGATATTCAAATAAGATGCTCAAGTGCTCAAAATATTAAATTATCTAAAATTTACAGACAATAGAATGCTAAAGCGTATCCAAATAGGCATTAAACAGTGGTGACATAAGCAGCATTTTTGTCACAATTCAACGGGCCTAGGTACCATTCCCTCACTGAGTTTATCGATGATTTCAGCAAATGATTTGTAGAATAAGGTTTTACACAAACTGTCACTAAGCTATACACATAACAACCATTGCACAATATTTGTGCGGCATTTTCTTGAAATATATACATGGGCCTGCTATCCCCAAAATACAGAAACCAAGATTTTGCACAACCGAAAGAAGTGATTAAGTGAAGCGACAGAAAAAGAAACGCCACGGACCTTGGGAACAAGAAGGGTGACTAGCTACCAGGCGATGCGCGGCACTGGTCGAAGCGGCGGAGCACCTCGGGGTCGTGCATGGACAACACGAAGCGCGAGAGCGCCTCGAGGTACAGCGCCGCCTGGTACCCCCCGGCGGCGGCGACGAGGTCCGAGAGTACGCCCCGACGGAGCCGGTTGGCCTCGAGTGCAACGCCCTTGAGCTCCTCCAAGAACGCCTCCACGTCGGCGGCGCCGGTAGCCTCGGCGGCCACGAAGGCTTCCTGGGCCCGGCGGAGGCGGTCGGAGACGGCAGGGACGGCGGCGCGGATCCGGCGGTCGACGCGGTCGACGGCGGCGAGGAGTCGCGGCGAGGGCGAGAGCGTGCGGAGGAGCGAGGTAAGGAGGGAGGGGTGGACGTCGCCAAGCCACAGGAAGGGGAGCTCGAGCGGGGACCGCCAGTCCCCCGCGGCGATGACCCGCGCCGGGTCCTGGCGTGCGGCGGCGTCGAGCGCGGACCAGTGCGCCTGGAAGTGAGCCTCGACAGCCGCGGCGACGGAGGAGAGCGGGTCGTCCCAGGAGCCGGACGAGGAGGAGGAGGAGAGCGCGCGGCGGAGCAGCGGGAGGAGCGGGGAGCGGAGGGTGGCGAGCCAGGCGGCGAAGAAGTCCCGGATCGGACGCCTGGCGCCCGGGGTCCCGCGGCCCGGCGGCGGGGGCCGCGGCATGCCTGCGGTTGCGGCGGGGAGGCCGCCGCGGCGGTGATTGGTGTCGGCGGTTGGTTCGCCGCTTGGAAGTCGGTGTTGGTTCTGTGGAGTTGGAGGGAAGGATGGGAGACAGCGGTGGGCTGAGACTGAGAGCCATCTAACTCGTGCAAGAAATTCTTGGCCCGGTCCAACTTTTTGGGCCTCGTGTGTGTCTTTCTCGTCGTTCTGTTTCTTCTGCCAAACAGAGTGAGGTGAATCCCCTCAAAAAAAAAAAAAAAAAAAAGAGTGAGGTGAAAAAAAAAAAAAAAAAAAAGTGAGGTGAAAACAGAAAACCTTACTTGGCACTTGCCCTAGACATCCAGTTGACAAGGTAGCAAACTGTGCCTCGTTAGTTTCACGACCACATATGCAGTGCGCTGTGTTTATGAGGTAATCAGATTGCTAGGGTTTATTGTACAGTACTTTCTCTATTTTAAATTATAAGATGTTTTAGTATTTCTAAATACATAGATTTTGCTATGTATTTAGATATACACTTATGTCTACATACATATATACACTTATGTCTACATACATACTCCCTTTGTCCACAAATAAATACAATTCTCGCTTTTCGAGAAGTTAAGCAATTTGAACTTTGACTGAATTTGTATTAAAAAATACTATTATTAATGATACAAAATAAGTATCATTAGATTAGTTATAGAATATATTTTTATAATAGATTTATTTAAATACATATATGTTAATATTATTTACTATAAATTTAGTCAAACTTTAGTAGTTCTCATAATTACATTATTTTGTGGACAGAGAGAGTAGTAAAAACAATAGATTTAGAAAATCCAAAACGTCTTATAATTTGAAATGGAGTAGTAAATTATAGTGGTGGACCCATAAACTACCTTGTTATCCTCATCAAGTTCTCAAACTACGATACTACTGATTGGGTGGGAGTAGGGATAAAAACGGATCGGATACGAACGGATATCACTCATATTATATTTGTTTTCATATTTCTGTTCGGATTCGGATTCGGACACGGATAGCGTTCGGATACATATACGAATACGGATTGACTCGGTTACGGATACGAATAATGAGTATCGAATATGGTATGAATCGGATTCGGAGAAGGTCGGATACAAATATCTATTCTATATTGAGTAAAAGCAACATATATATATATATATTTTTACACCACTCTATGAGTCCATAATCCATCTAGATTAAGCAAAGACTAAAGAGTAAAGCAACAAATAAGATAAAGATTATACATCATACATCAAACATCATACAAGCACCAATCTTCGCGGCATGAGTAGAAATAGCTAAGCTCATGGCTTCATGGGTCTCATGGAGTCATGGTCATGGATTCAAGATCTACAATCCTTATATAGGCCATTTTTCATTTGAGAAAGTTTGAACAAAATGTAGTTCAAATTTCACAAGTGTGTGACATAGTTTTAGAAAGTCTGTATGAGATTCAAGAATTTGTGCCTAGTGTTTGATAAAACTTTCTCAAATGGGAAAATGAGCTATGTAACAATTGTAGATCTCGCTGAGATGATCAAACTTGGTATTCAGAGTTTTTTCATCCGAGGTCATTTAGTGTCTCATTTGAGCAAGTTTGACCAAGTCAAATTTGGTCAAATGAAAAAACAACACTTTGACTCTAGTATTATGAACTCTAAATGACTTTAAATTGAAAAGTTTTGAATACCAAGTTTGTTCAACTCATCAAGATCTACAATTCTTGTTTTGGTCAACTTTTCATTTGAGATAGTTTGGACGGTTCAAATTTGTGATTTTTAAATTTCGATTTGGTTTTCGATTGTCTCAAATTGAAAAGTTTTGAATACCAAGTTTGTTCAGCTCATCAAGATCTACAATCCTTATATAGGCTATTTTTTCATTTGAGGAAAGTTTGAACAAAATATAGTTCAAATTTCACAAGTGTGTGACATAGTTTCGTAAAGTCTATATGAGATTCAAGAATTTGTGACTAGTGTTTGATAAAACTTTCTCAAATGGGAAAATGAGCTATGTAACAATTGTATATCTTGCTGAGATGATCAAACTTGGTATTCAGAGTTTTTTCATCTGAGGTCATTTAGTGTCTCATTTGAGCAAGTTTGACCAAGTCAAATTTGGTCAAATAAAAAAACAACACTTTGACTCTAGTATTATGAACTCTAAATGACTTCAAATTGAAAAGTTTTGTATACCAAGTTTGTTCAACTCATCAAGATATACAATTGTTGTTTTGGTCAACTTTCCATTTGAGATAGTTTGGACGGTTCAAATTTGTGATTTTTAAATTTCGACGTTTACAAACTAGTTTTCGGAACCCTAGATTGTCTCAAATTGAAAAGTTTTGAATACCAAATTTGTTCATCTCATCAAGATCTACAATCCTTATATAGGCCATTTTTTCATTTGAGAAAGTTTGAACAAAATATAGTTCAAATTTCACAAATGTGTGACATAGTTTCAGAAAGTCTATATGAGATTCAAGAATTTGTGACTAGTGTTTGATAAAACTTTCTCAAATGGGAAAATGAGCTATGTGACAATTGTAGATCTTGCTGAGATGATCAAACTTGGTATTCAGAGTTTTTTCATCTGAGGTCATTTAGTGTCTCATTTGAGCAAGTTTGACCAAGTCAAATTTGGTCAAATGAAAAAACAACACTTTGACTCTAGTATTATGAACTATAAATGACTTCAAATTGAAAAGTTTTGAATACCAAGTTTGTTCAACTCATTAAGATCTACAATTGTTGTTTTGGTCAAATTTCCATTTGAGATAGTTTGGATGGTTCAAATTTGTGATTTTTAAATTTTGACGCCTATAAACTAGTTTTCCATTTGAGAAAGTTTGGACGGTTTAATTTTTTAGCACTAAATGATTTCAAACGAAAAGTTGTAAACAACAAAGTTTCATAACTTTTTGAGATCTACAATTTTATTTTGATCATTTCTCCATCCAAGGTCGTTTGAATAATATCCGGATAATATCCGTTTTTAAATATCCGGATATATCCGATACTTAACCGGATTATCCGATATCCGCCGGATATCGATGATATTACATCCGTATTTGATATCCGCCTAAGATATCCGTTTTAGTATCCGTATCCGAAAAAAATTACGGATATCCGAGTAACTATCCAGATAAGTGTTTATATTTGTTCGGTCGAACGGACGGTCGAATAAATATCCGTACCGTTTTCATCCATAGGTGGGAGGTTTAACATGATATATGTGAGACCTAGCCCATTGGGCCAAGTTGGGCCAGACCGAATTCTTTACTGTAGCACCGAGTTAATGTAGCTACGGGAAACACTGTAGCTGCAAAAGTTTAGTACCGTGCCGAGTGTTCTGAGTTCACCGAATCAGCTTAAATAGTCAGGCTAAGGATGCGTAGTAACCTTCGGTTAACCGTTTTGCGCGAATCGAGGACGAAAACATAAGCGAGTTACTACATAGGTGGAGCCCACCCCTCGGTAGATTGGGTTTGTACTGTGTGCCGGGCCTAAGGTGTTACAATACAGACCACCCACCTATGGCAATGTTTTTTTTTTCTAACATTGGACTAGATTTTAGAAATTTTAATCTTATGACTTATCTAAGAAAAATGTTTGGATATTTTTTTATAAGTTGAACCATGAGCTATCAATGCAATCTAATTTATTATCTTCATGACTAAGCGAGGCACATGTGTTTTTTTATGTTATCTCTTAATCTGTCCTAAAATCTATAGAATAATATATATTATATTACAGGATGGAGTGAGCAGCGGTTAACCATTCTGAATTTACATGTTTCTCCCAACAATTTAGGTGCTGTTTGGTTCGGATGGCGGGTGTGGCAACGGAAACGTAATCAGTTGCCGGCGCTAGCTGTTACAGGCAACTGTTAACGCTATTTGTTTGGTTCGCGACTTGAAAGCTACCTGTTCTTCTCGACCACAGAGAAAGAGGATGCGGCTTGTTCTTCTTGGTTGGTGTGGGGTGGGGCAGATGCCTGAGCGAGCTTGGTCTCCGGCCGGGGTCGTCACCAGGGCCGCGACGAAGCATCTTGGGCGGCCGTAGCGGCCTCTGGCGCCTCGGCACTCAGCGATTGGAGTCGCCGCCGGCGCCGCTGCGGGAGAGGGGGAGGGGTTGCCTCGGCAGTGGAAGGCGTCGGCGCCGCTGTGAGAGTCGCCGCGGGGTGCCAGATGTGGCGGCAGGGGACACCGGAGAGGCGAACGTGCACGTGCACGTGCGAGTGCGAGTGCGAGTGCGCCCGTGCGAGCACAGAGCGGCGGCGGCGCTGTTTTTTCTACTCCGCGATGGGATCCCGCTCGCAACGGAGGGGTAACGAATTTGTATTAGGCCGCATCTGTTTCCGCTGTGATTGGTTACCACCTGGTCCATCCAAACACAAACCAACGTGACCTATTCACACCGTGAATCATTGACGGGCTCAAATGGTCGAACCAAACAGCTCCTTAGATTTAATATAATCAAATATGGTAATGAATCAATAATTGAGCCAGCTACTGGTACTGGTTTTACATGTACTAGTTGAGTCCGAAAAAAGTAACTAATTGTTGTCTTCATAACAAATTTAGAATCTATTTGGCATAGCTCCTGCGTAAGCACTAAAGCTTTTGCTAAGACGAACAAAGAATAGGTGGAACCGTGGCCGCGTAAACAATGCCAAACAAACCCAGTAAACCACCCCCAAAGATAACGAAAAAATGGATACGCGCAGGGCAGGCATGCAACAACCCAACCACAAAATGTGGTGAGCCAACGCCTGGCGCCTGTGCGGGCTCAGGCTGCTTTCGGCTTCGCTTCCGGAACGATCCGCCGCAACTCTTGCGGCTCTGGCGTGTTAGCCACCTCCTGCCGGTGCCGGCTCACGTGTAGTGCACGCCTTAGCCCGTGCTCGCTCTCCCCCAGATGCTTCACCTGCGCCAATCCGTGCGACCCCATCACTCATGCTTGTATAGGAGTACAGAGTACGCGATCGATAGCGCAGCATGTTTTCACGCACTGGTCAGGATCAAGAGTCTATGATCCTGTCGACCTAATGTGTTTTACCTTGCAGAAGAGTGAACAGTGGTCGTGCCCGGAGAGGAGCGGTCGCGCGCATGCAAGCAAGCAAGCCTCACTCACGCACACCGTTGAGACTTGAGAGATGACCAGTAAAGATCCATCAGGAGTGGAGAACACATGCATAGTGTGACGATGCACGAATCACGATTAACCATCAGATGGAATCGGGCTCTGTATGGCCTAATTTATTGGGCTTCATGGGCCTGGATGGCACCGGGGCGTCACATTTTTTAGGCCCATCTGCACTGACTTCCTGATTGGCTGCATTTGACAACACAAACGCAAACTCATCTAGCTTGCTCCTCCGGTGTCCGGTCAATATAAGTTCTCCAGGCCTTCGTGTCTCGTCAGAAGAATACGTACATCACGGTTCCTTCCTCTGCATCCTGCAGCCATATATTTGCATTTGTGCAGACAAGGGCATGGAATTTTAAGGCCAAGCAACTGGGTTATCGTGCGATCAGGTTATCAGCAGTTGGCGGTAAGTAAACCTGACGATTAGATGCGTAGGAATTTACCTTCTGTGACCATTTTGAATCTTCTAACTTCCTTCCCACATACTTATTAGTAGAAAACAAAAGGCTCCGTATCTGAACATTATGTGCATTTACCTCTACTGAAACTATGTAATGCTTTTTCTGTTCATCTGAATTCTCTCCTGAGCAGTAAGCTAGATGAGCCCACACCAATGCTCGTCAGACTGTGACCTGCTGTACCGAATGTCACAGCGACTAATCAATTTTAGACTCTATATATTTACAAAGCGAGTGAAAGCAGTTGTGCCATTAACCCGGGGAGTAGTACAGGGCAGTTGTTGAGCCATAAAAATTCAGGACACGATCTGCACCGCTGTGTGGGCTGTACTCCGAAACAGGTCGCCATGATGGGTTCTCCAAACCCTTGGTCCATCCAGGACCAGGCCGAGGCCGGGGACGAGCGAGCTAGCTGCTTGTTGCGACAGTAGCAGTACACGGAGACATTCATTCATCGTTTCAGTCAGGGCTTATCAGCGCTATGATACAGTATTTTTCTTTCACAACCAACCAGCACCAGTCGGGTTTATCAGCCCAGAAATCAACCAGCGAACAGGATGATAAAGGACTGTGGTCAGTGGCCGCCCAACTCAGGCAATCATGCTTGCTCCGGTCTCAAAGCAGAGGTCCTGAGTTTTGCCCTGCTTTACGAGCCTTGATCTCTTTCTGTTCCTCCGATGCCAAGCAAGAGCTCATGGCCTGTCGCAACCAGCACTTATTCGTCAATGCAATTGAATGGAGAACTAAACCATTGTTTAGTTCCATGAATTTGGATTTTAATTCTCAAAGCGCGTTCGTTTTATTTGGCTCTTTCCAAACATCAATTTTTAAAACGTTCGTATGTAATTTCCCACCAAACTGCAATAAATGTTTCGGTAAAAAAAATAACTAATTATAGGTCATAAATTTTGATGTATAAATCAGAGAACTTTTTTTTTGGCCTCCAACTAAACACATGATTGGATTAATCACCTCCAAATTCAAGTTTTTTCGTGCTCTTTTCATCACATCAATTTTTAGATTGCATAGAGTATTAAATGTAAACAAAAAAATAACTAATTGCATTCCGTTTGGTTATAAATCACGAGGCTCACTCATCAGTTAGTCCATGATCGCGGTTTTTCAAATCATCGGCTTCGGCTTTACCATTGGCTTTTTGCTGTCAGTTAGATCAAAACCGTGGAAGCATTCCATCGGTTTACTTGCAGGAGCTCACTCATCAGTTAGGTTTAGCGGTTGTTTGTTCATCGGCTTCGGCTTTACCATTGGCTTTTCCTGTCAGTAGACAAGACAGTGGAAGTAGATCACAATTATAGCCGACCAATAAATGAGGTCGCTGCAGGTTTGCTGGGAGGGCACTTGACAGGGAGAGACTATTCAATTTGGGGAAATCATTTGCGTGTCAGTAGCCAGCTACGAGTAATCAGTTCAACCTGCCACTCAGCCATGCAGCAGGGGAAACAGGTTGACATCGGCCAAGAGGAGTTACTATGACCATGTGACGGGCCGATGCGATGAACTCATGGGCGCTCATGTGCTCAGTGTTTTTCTCGGTCAGAAACGCTAGGATAGGCCGTCCGGCCAGGTAAAGAACAGTGCCGGCAGTTGCTGTAGGCCTGTAGCTTAGACCAAACTGAAGGTCATTCATGGTTCATGTGCTCGACCATTGATGCCTTGTGTACTCTCTGTTGTCTTCAGGATTAAACAAACCGGGGCTTCTTCCACTGCAGGTGCAGTCATGTTGCCTCGATCCTGTCAGTTTAATCTGCCTATGATTCTGTGTTTTCCTCTGATTAATATATGCATGCAAGAAGATGGCATCATGTTGCAAGTAGTAAAATATTTGCTGATGTGCATTCCATCATGCACTAGTGGTGAAAGAAGGGGACCGGAGAAGTAGGACACACTGTTCTAGCTCTACTGCGTACATCTACCACTGCACAGTACAAAGCTATGCTATGCATATTCCCCTATTACATTTAAGCAGGAACTGACATTTCAAATGACTGCTGCATTCTACGGTCCCCAGCTAGCTCAAAAAACAAAGAGGTGCACAATTGCACAAAGCAGGCCCCGGCCAGCACTGTCGAGACTTGAGAACAGAAGGAGATGGCAATGGTTCAAACTGGAGTGAGTCATGGCACCTTGAGTTTGCTACTCATTCGGGTTCAGGTTGCCTGCCTTTTGAGGTCTTTAGAAGTTTGAGCTTTCCAAGCGCTTTTGTGTGGCAATACGTGGATTCCCTTTGCTTGTGCAGATTCAGTTGGACTAGAAAGCGAGAACAAACTATCTGAAAGGGAATTGTTTGAGGACTACCGGCCGGCGATTGGAAGAATGGATGGCTTCAAACTTTGGACAGGCCTGAAAAGTCCGTGTACGGTCTGAATGCTTGCTGGTGCTCTTGTAAGTTTAACGTCTGATTATTCAGTTGTGGTAATCTGAAGAATACTTCATTTTCTTTTCTCTCTTTTCTTGCAGGATTCTGAGGCTGTGAGCGAATGGGCTGCTGCTTAAACTCAATCCAAACGACGAACCTTGTACTCCAGTCAAGCTAAACATTTTCGGGGACTTAAAAAGCGCTTGCTCATCATCGCAAGCCCAGTACAAAGAAGGCTACGCCGGCGATGATGCGCGGCAGCAGAACGTGAGGATCGTCAAAATCTTGCTTCCAGCCTCTGGTATTAAAGCCGGCTGAAACTGTTTTGTTGTTAGAGAAAAATATTGTAGATTCTAGCTGATAAGGCGGCTTATAAGTTCAAGCGAACAGTCCTGCCTATCGTCCATCTTAACTTCATCCGTATCCAGTATCCTGCTACGAGATGGAGCGATGCAAATGGAAGGACGCTGCGCTGCCGTAGTGGGCATTGCATGCAAGCTGCTGCTCCATGCATATGCATGCAGGTGAACACAAGGCGACGCCTGAAATGAAGGCGGGCGGTGACAAATCCAAACCCGAACGCTTCCTTCCTCTAAACGCGTCTGTCTATTCCTTTTGTCCCTGGCTGCTCCGGCGGGGGCGGAGGCGGTCAGGCGGAAGGCCGGAAGGCCTCAAAAGCCTCCCGCCCGCATGGAACGCGACAACTCCAGGGAATAAACAACCAGCGGCGCCGCACAGGCACAACAGTGCACTCGCTCACACAGTCGCACTGCACGGTGCGCGCGCCCGCGCAAGAACGAACGCAATCCGGACATGCGCAGCCACTGTGCGCGCCTTAAACATGAGCAGGGACTGCACGCGCACAGTGTCTGCAATTGCGACTCTTCGTCTTCGAGGGAGGCACGGGCACTCCGGCAGTCACCAGCGAGACGAGTAATGGCGAAGGCTACCGATCGTGAGGGCTGATTTGATTGGACGCAAGTACTGAGATTATCACACCTACACTACAGTAGTATGCTATATGCAGTTGACTGGTTTTGCAGGCAAGTGAGAAAACAATTAGCAGCAGGGTTAATGGACAACGCGATGTTTTTTCCTCTCTTTTTACAGCTTGTAGATGATGAGGAAGCAGGGGAGCACGGCGCGCCGGTCGAACACCACCAGCTCGCCGCCCCTGCCGACCCGGACGGAGTCCAAGTGGTCGTCCTTGGCGGCTGCCGCCTCCGCCTCCGCCACGCGGCCGGCGATGACCCTGCACAGGAACATGGCGCGGCGGCCGGCCGCGGGCCCACGCGCTGCGCTGGCGTGCGCGCCGCCGCTGCCGTCGAACGTCCGGATGCGCGGGGGGCCGTCCTCCTCGCCGCCCGTCGTCGCGGCACCCGCCGAGGAGGGCGAGGAGCCGTACGTCGGCGGCGCCGGGGCGAAGCGCATCATCTCGTTGCCGTCGGCCGCGCTGCGCGAGGCCCCGCCGGCCCGGGCGCGCACCGCGGCGCGGTAGTCCTCGAAGCGCGCCACGGCGCGCGCCGGGTTGTGCACGCGGAACAGCATCTCCACCACACCCGGGAACGCGCCGCTGCTGGTGGTGGTGGTGGTGGTGGGCGGTCCCGGGGGAGGCGGAGGTTGTGGAACCGGAGATGACCACGAGGAGAGGAAGATGATCTCCACCACCTGCCGCGACGAGTGCCCCGCCGGGAGCTCGGTGAGCGCCGGGACCGGGCCGAGAGGCCCCGGAGGCGGCGACGGCGGCACAGACACCGGCTTCGGCTTGGCCGTCTTCTTCTTCGCCGGTTCGGGACTCGGCTTGGGCTTGGGCTTCGGCCTGCTGGTGAGCTTGGACGAGACGACGTGGTTGAGGGTGTCGCCGGAGCTCCCGCAGCCAGCGCGCGGGAGGAGCGGGTGGAGCTTCTTGATGGGCGCCGTCGTCGCGACTCTGGCGGCCACGTCGTCGGCCGCCATGGACTTGCAGTGGAGGGACCGGACCCAGCTCCCCGCCGCCGCCGTCGGGCGGCGGCGGCGGAGCAGTGGAGGCTTCTCCGGCATGAGGCGCCCCGGCGGCCGGCTGGCCGGAGATGCAGCGGTCGTTGTGGCTGACGGCTGTGCGGTGCTGTCCTGCTGGGTGGTGTAGGAGTAGCAAGCTACCGTGGTGGCGGTTACTATGCTAGTGCTGCCTTAGCTGATCAGCTAATATAGCGCTGATTGTGGACTGTGCCTCAGTGCCTGCTTATCCTGGCAACTGGCTAGGTACCCCATGCAGCTGTCAGTGTTAGAGCCGCTCAGGCAGAGCTCGCCTGATAAGAGTAAAATTTACTAGTATTTACATCCAGTACATCTCATTGCATTAGTATATCAAATGTTTAGAACCGAACCGGCATTAGGCCTGGTTTAGTTCCCACAAAATTTCACCATAAACTATCACATCGAATCTTGCGACACATGCATGAAGTATTAAATATAGATAAAAAAACTAATTACACAGTTTGGTTGGAAATCAGTATTTTAAATGTTGATTAGAATATGCCGAACCGGCATTATTAATTACAGAATGATGCATGATCGGTCGTCATATGCTACCCCCCAAAAACGTGACATTTTTTTCGTTCCATTGGCATTCGGTCGTCATATACTACCGCCACATTCCGTTCCATTGGCAGGTCACGCCAACCCGCGGAGGTCACGCCATGCACGCAGGCACCAGCTGAAAAACGGCCGAGATCGAGGACACGGAAGTGGCATGCGAAGCGGGCGTCCTATCGCGCGCGCAACTGTTGTGTGCATGTCATCGTTCTCGGCCACGCAACACGTACCAGCTGACGCGCTGACGGTTTGATGGCACTCGGCCACTGGCAAGCTCGCACTATCCTCGGACGGGTCTACACCTATCAAGGCAAGCGGTTCGGCCCTTCCTGGCCCATGACATCGCCGTGCGGCGTGCGCGCCCTCGATCCAACGAAGGCCCTTCCAGGCCGATGGCGTCGCTTCTGTTCGCTGGTTGTCACACGCGTCATGCGTGCGCCGTTCGGGCGATGCGCATTCTCATCCGGCGGCACGGGGCAGGCCAGAAAAAAACCGGGCTAAGAAGAAGTAGGCATCCGTGATGATTCCGTTAATTAATCTTAAAACCTGTTGGATCAGTAATTTAAATGTTATTAGGTACTCGTGCAAGTAGGGTATGCACGTATATTCGTAGCAGAGATGGATACGCATACATATATGATCGTCTATGTGTTTATGGCGTAATTTGTGAAAAGATCCAACAGCGGTGCGGTTTGGCACGCAAGGTTGGCAGGTTACGCTGGAAGTATGCATGACCCGTTGTTGACTTCTGCAGAATGATGAGTGAGCGGGCAAAATTACGAACCATTAGCTCATTTGATTTGATGTATACCCACGGTCTTTAATATAGGCCATGCTCGCTTTGCTGAAACTAAAAAGTATCGTTGGCTGATTTATTGTGAAAGAAAAATAATATTTCTTCACTAAAAAAAATATGGCTTATAAGATAAGCGAACATAGCCATAAGCCCCCGTACTAATTCCCTAGCTGATTGTAAATGATGGCCTAGTGCCGTGCACGACCATCTCTGATTACTTTGTTTTCTTCTGCACATGGCTCAATTAGCCAATAGGCCCGATAGCAAGTTAGCAACATATATATGCCCAAATCACATGCCAGACAAGGTACTAGGAGTAGTACGTCGTACTCTCTGTCGCTCCGAAAATGCGGATGGATTTACGGCTAATTGTGGGCTGTTTTGTCAACAAAAGGGCAGGCAGGGTCATTCACTGAACAAAGTACGCATGCGTGGCACGGTACATACCCTGACGTAGTAGTAGGTTGGTTCGTCTAGTCGTGTTTGGAACTAAAGGCCGGCAGGTATGGTGCCAAAAGCGACCTTTCTTGCCCTCGCGCGCAGAGGGTATATATGGCCACCGCACTTTTTCGACGCATTCGCACCAGATTGCGTGTCAAAGGCTCATGCGTGTGCGCTTTCTGTCGATTCAATTTGGTTTGATTTTGATCCCACGAGGAGGGAGGTGGTAAAATAAAATACATGAGTATAGTAGTAGTTGTGGAAACACTTGGAGTACACTTTTCAAATTTGAGCTTGTTATAGAGAAAACACATGATTGATGTGGGTGGGGGGGGGGCATATGCAAAATAAAACTAATGAAGAATCAGGAAACCTTACTTGGTATGATAAATATTATTATTTTGTTATATAAATTTAATCAAACTTGCAAAACTCCGTATAAGATTATGAAATGACTTAAATTTCAAACCAAGTCAAATCGACGTTGTGGAAACACTACAGCACACTGCAATTTGAGCTTGTGAGTGTGAAACTAACATAATGTGTGGGGGGACAACGCGAGATCAGTCATTAGGAAAGCCGAGTTAAATGCTTCAGATAGTACCGCACTGCAGTCCGTATATTGTGAATTTTAAATTTCAAACCAAGTCAAATCGACGCATAATCAACGGGCGATCACTGACCAGCAACGTACGTAATGGAAAGCCCAACTAGGCGTTGGAATCCCAGACCAGTTCGAGGAGGATTTGAACGGACGGGTGTGAGTTCCGATGCATCGCTATCACGGCCCAGCCTTTGCTTGCTCACGCTCACGCCCTGCCGCTGCCACTCCTCCTGCGTGTGCGTGCGCGACCGTGCCAAAAGGCCCATGCGCGAGGCGGCCTGCCTGCCGCGCCCACTGCCCCAAGCGCGCCAAACTCGCTGACCTCTCGATCCAGCGGCCGATATCCCGTGCCCGCCATATTATCCTGTACTATTCCTGTGGCGGCCTCGTCCTGGCCCGTCAAATGCTCTGCAGAAATGCAGAATGCAGCGTTGGCCGTTTCTTGCCCACGCAGACGGCAGACGCAGGCAGCACAGACCACAGACGCACAGTGCTATGCTGTACCGCCACTTTGCCCGGATCTTTCATGAAAAGAATGGCAACAAACGTTCGTATATATATGCTCAACTCTGTCACTGTTTCTCTGAGCTCAAACGCACTACGGGTACGGGCTAGTACACACCATAGGATTTTGAGACAGGAAGTCACGAAGCCCACAGTACAGTAATACGAAGAGGTTCATGCATCGGGAAAAAAAAATCCATATGGCCTCCCTAACCATTGTTGAAGTTCTCCAGACGGAAAGAGGATTTTTTTACCTCATCTAACTTTCAAAACCGTCCAAATTTGATCTCTAAGCGGTTTTGAATGTGGTTTTAACTAATACAACGCACATCAATTGTACCTGGTGACGAAGCTAGAGTGAATTGAAGAGGGTTACACTTGTATGAGTGCATAGACTTATGTCATATGTGATACATATATGGTGAAATTTTAGTTATAATTACTGTTTTCAAAATTTTAGCGGGTGATACATACAATTAATGAGTAGCTTCGCCTCTCACTATGCCACGTGGGCGTCACACCATACGTGAGGGACGTAAACAAGATTACATTGATAATTTAAACAGATCAAATGTTTTATCAAAAAAGTCATAAAAATGTTTTTCTTAAATCATGCTCCATCATATGGTACCTAGCTTGGAACTATTTGAATGTTATGTGGTCTCCTTTTGATATTTATTTGCTAGTAGATGCTCTATTAGAGTTATTAGTCTATGTTGACTCGGACAGGGCCCACTAGATAGATGTGACCATGTCACAAAGAAATGTCATTTTTATTTTATGTTTCTTGTTTACAAAAGTGCTAGTTTGGTGAGATTTGATTTATTAGCACAAAATCGACATGATCACATATAAGAATGATGTGGAAATAAGTTAACAAAACATTGTGAAACTATCAACTTCAAGATATGTCTATAACGACTTTATCAATATCAAGATTTACGCTCACTGGAGATGGATGTGTGTGCGTTCATGTTGTGAGTGTGCACACGTATAAAGGGGACCCATTTGTTCATATTAATTAGGATTGAGAATGAGGTGGTTACATGAGCACATGACATGTGTTGTGACCGAAGTCAGCTTACATGGTCTGGTTACCAACATAGACAATTAGATTACAAAAGCATCTACAGACAAATAAACATCAAATGGAGAGTATATAAATTTCAAATAATTTCAAGCTTAGCACCACAATATATAGTATGATTTTAGGAAGATATGAACCACTTTCAAATTTTAGAGCTAAAGCAAAAAATATATATTTTTCTAAGATTAAAGTAGATTTTAGGATTATTAATTGCAGATTTTCTTTAAAAGTATTTATATAATTTTTAATTGTTCCTACATTTTCAATAAAGTTTAATTAACTCCTACACTTATCTACGCAGTGCGATTTACCGCGTTTAGCGGTATGGCTGACGTGCTTTGAATTATTAACATAATCTGATTTATCACTATGTATCGTGGTTGATGTAGCCTTGGTCAACCAAAATCGCTTTCGGAACCATCCATGGAGCACATTTAGACGGTTTATAAAGAAACAAAGAGAGAGAGAAAAACGGTTTTCCATTTTTTTTTTGGAGGGGACAAACGGTTTTTCCAATTAGAAGAGGCGAATCAGGCTTCGATGAAAACTAGGGATGTCAAATGGATTTCTTTTCTCGTATAACTCTGCCATTTTGAGCCCAATATCTAAGTGACAAGAAGGCCCAATGGGTCGAACCCACCGAAACGAGATCTTGCTTCGTCGGATTTCCCCTCGGCCACGATTTCAGTTCGACAAACTTCCCCAATCGCCCCTGCCGGCGCGCATGGCAACCGCAACCACCACCTCGCCGCGGGCGCTGGCGCCGTCAAAGCCCACCCTCCTAGGCGGTGTCCGGGGCCTCGACGCGGCCGTATCCCTCCGCCTGCACGCCCTCTTCCTCCCGGTGCCGCGCCTCCTTCTCAAGACGCTCGAGATCGCCGGCGACGGCCGCATCTGGCTGCCCGTCCCCATCTCCCTGCTCCTCCTCTCCGCGTCCCCCGCCAACGCCAACGCGTCTGGGGCGGCCTCCCCGCTCCTGGCAGGCCTTGTCGCTGGCCTCGTGCTGGACCTCATCCTCGTCGGCCTCGTCAAGGTCGTCGTCCGCCGCCCGCGCCCGGCCTACAACGCCAAGGACATGTACGTCGCCGTCGCCGCCGACCACTGGTCTTTCCCCAGCGGCCACTCCTCCCGCGCCTTCCTCGTCGCTTCCTTCCTCGCCGGCGGCGGCTTCCGTCCCCGCGAGGCGCTGTTCCTCTGGGCCACCGCGACGTCGGCGTCCAGGGTGCTCCTTGGCCGGCACTACGTCCTCGACGTCGTCGCTGGGGCTTGCCTCGGCGTGTTCGAGGCCTGGCTCAGCAACTTGCTCTTGAGATTCGTGTGCGCTCAAAGCACCTTCCTCGTATGCTAATCCTTGTTATTGTAGTACCACTAATCCGCCATACTGTGATACAGCGTTGCTGTTTGCGAAGTTGCAATTTCGGTAAGCATTTCAGGCGTTAAGTGTGGCGGTCTTACGCAAACTTGTCTGAGCCCTCTGGTGCGCTTGTAATTGCTTTGTTCTCAATACAAAGCGAAAAATATGGTAAGCAATTGAAGTTTGCTGAGCAGGCACGCTGTTTCTACTTTCTAGGATTAGGGCTTACCACCAAAAAAGTGGGATGTACTAAATTTTTCCACCAAGCAATGTTTTCACTCTGGCTTGATGCATATGATACATGAACCTACATAGCTCATGCATCCATATTCTTCAGTCATAATCTTATGCTCAATTACTGTGATGATTTTGTTTCCACTTCCAGGTGCGGCTACATACCTGCTGCTAGGCTGTTTGTCTTCACTACTGGTTGTTCTGTATTGGAGACATCCAGCATCATTGCTAGGCTGTTTTAGTCTTCACTACTGGTTGCTCTGCATTGGATACATCCAGCATCAGTGGTTATGTGTCATGTGTATAGATGCAACGCACATAATTCATTTAGATGCACCCGTAAACAAGATGATTGTGATACACTCGCTGTTAGTTTGATTTGTAGTAGTAGTTATCAAACTAGTGCTATTCATGTATATGCGGAGTGCTGCTCTCAGGCGAGGACACCCCTGGAACTGTTAAAGTCGAAGTAGATCACAGTGTAATCAGCCCAAGAAAATGAAACATGGGAATTAAACTGCTTGTTGATTTGAAGATGCCAACTAAACCAACCTGGTTAAATCAATGTTTTTTTTATTTCAAATGGGGTATCAGAGTAGTTTTTATTTCAAATGCGTTATCAGAGTAGGACATGGGAATTGAACGCCATCGCTGGCAAGAGAGCTGGGAGTGAAGGAAAAGACTGCTACGAAATTTAGAATCATTGTCTGCGAGACCTCCAATAATGCAGCAACAACAGTGCATCTAATAATATCTTCAATCCTGTTAGATCGTGGGACGCAGTTCACAAGGGCAGCAAGTTTTTGGCGTCTGAATCATCATTCTAACGAACGCTTACCGACAGCAACGGGGATAATGATAATCTGCGGAAACACAGACTTTCAGGTAAAACGACCGATCCTCAGATTAGGTGGACAGCAAAACTCTGCCCAAGTTCGCTGTGGCGCCTGCAGAGGCCAGGCACCGTCAGGCTCACAAAAAGATGAGAGATCCCCATCCAACAGTGGCAGCTGGCCTTTTTGCAGTTTACGGCAAAAGGTTCACTGATGAAACTTCATTCTGGTATTCTGGTGTCTCGTTTTCGTCGACGGCCGCAAGGTGACAAGGCAACACGTCCGCCAGGGTGGGCGGCGCGATCACCAGACGATCCTAACTGGCAACGGGCGGTGCTCGCGGACTTGGGGTTGCCCGAATCCAACCACTTCTGCCAACCAACGCGTGAAACGGCGAAAGGATTGCAGTGGGGAGACCCGGATTAGCATGGACGGCGCCACCGCCGCAGCCTGCAGCCAATCATTACTCGGCCTCCTATACCTTAGTTTATGCCAACCTAAACTCCACCCTCCTCCAGAGTCCGAGCCCATCTCGTCCTCCGATTCGGTTCTTCTTCTTCCTTCTACCGAAAGGACCGAGCCCTCAGCCCTGCGCTGCCAACCGTACTCGTCATAACATGGCTTTAATTTGTCTCTCTCGTGTCCCGATACTTTTGCTTCCGGGAGCAGGAAACGTAGCGGGGGCCCCCGTCTTGGATATTATTTCATCAGTTTTCGGGTTCTTGGATTGGATCTTCCGAATTCTTGGTTCTCGAGAGGAGAGGAGAGGAGAAAGCGGGGCGCTCAATTTCCCCTCCTGATCCTTGTTTCTTGATCGCCGCCATGAGTAACACGCTGCTTCGGGTCTGTCCTTCCGAGTTGAAGATGCCATGTAAGTGCTTGTACAGTTGTACTTATCCTGGTTCGTCGTGTTTCTTGTTGCCTGTGCTTTCGGCATATCAGACTGATCGGGTCCTCTGTGTTTGACGCCGTGAGCAGTCGAGCCCAAGAAGCACAATTCAGCATGTCTTGAGCTCATCAACAAGACCGATCAGTGGGTGGCTTTCAAGGTAACAAATTTGATGAATTTGTTTTGGTGAAAGATGCAATCTTGTGCATCAGAATCAGGCTAAAGTGATTGGTTTTTCCCCCCTGTATATCTCGCCGAATCTGCAGGTCAAGACGACAAACCCAAGGAAGTACGCGGTGCGGCCTGCCTCCGGTGTCGTGCCGCCCAGGGGATCCTGCGGCATCACAAGTGCGTCTGCTTCGCCCGTATGCTTTGTGTTTCTTTGTCGTATGGTTGATCAATCGTTCTCATTGCTATGCTGAAATTGTTGTAGTTACGATGCAAGCGCCCAAGGAGATCCCCCCGGACTACCACCGCAAGGATAAGTTTCTTGTTCAGAGCATTGCCGCGGAGGAGGGGACGACGCAGAAGGACATTGTCCCTGGCATGGTAAATTCTTTCAGAACTCGAGTTTATGGAGTCTCAGTGGCACTGTGCATTGCTTATTTTTACAGTCAAAGAGTATCGTGTAACGCTAACGTTGTGGCTTGTATAGTTCAGTAAAGCACCAGGCAAGTTAGTTGAGGAGTTCAAGGTGAGGGTGGTCTATGTCCCTGCCAATCCTCCCTCACCAGTGCCTGAGGAAACAGAGGAAGAGGATGGATCTCTTGATTCAGATGTGGACCATGAAGTGGGGAGACCATCGACGTCCAACTCTGTAATTACTAAATAGCCTTACTGCATGTGAGCAAATGATGCCATGGTCGTTCCTAGTGTAATATGAATGGTGCCTTCCATTGTTTTTCAGGCAGCAGGACAAGGGCATACATGTAGATCACAAGCTTCAGATGCTGAGGTGACTCTAGTTCCACCTAAATATCGTTTGTCTTTGTGTTCTCTCAGATTCAAATATGGATGTTGTGCTGATCACCTGTTGCATAGCATATAATCTTAAAAAACGGATTTAACTTCAGTGATCATGGAAATACTGTGCTTTGATGATATTGATTCACTGAATAGTTTCGTTTTCATGAAACTCTATCATAATATCTGCAACCCCCCTCAACCCGAAAAAAAAAAGAGGACAGAAAAAAAAATCTATCATAAGAAGACAACATGCTCCTGTTTAATTGTAATGTGAATACCTTTCTCTTACAATTGTTTTTGTACCAGAATGACGTTTGACAATTGAGAAATTTGATTCCTTATATTAATTCCACCATGATTATCGGCACCATTAATCCAGGATGTTAGAATTTCAAAATATTTGTATACTGTCTGCCCTGAACATTCACTTTATCCCTGACATGTCGTTGATTGTTTTGTGACTCTTCAGGATGACTCTACATCCAAGTTAGAACTGGAAAGTAGATATGCAGAGGAAAACAAGAAGATTCAGAAAGAGCTGACAGGACCTTTTCAGGATGACTCTGTATCCAAGTTAGAATTGGAAAGTACATATGCAGAGGAAAACAAGAAGATTCAGAAAGAGCTGGTAGGACTTTTTCTTCTGATGTGTTTCCCTCTCTATTTTCTAGAAATAAAAGTATTGAGGAGACTAGTCGCTTTATTTATTTCATATTTACATTACTTTTCTTAAGTAACCCTTTTATATTTTTGGAAAAGTTCAAATTACACAAGTTTGGCTTATATCTGAATAACCAGAACATTTGGTTCGATTTAAACCCCCCCTTTCTCCACTTGCAAGCTGAGTTTAGTTTGCAAATTTTGTGAGGTGATAGCGGACATCACAATTTATGCTAAAAGTACATTTTGGGTTTTCCATCATTATGTTTCATACAATTTTGTATCTCTAGTGTTAATTTATTATTATTTGATATCATGAACTATCAAAATAATGATAAAAAGCTATGATGCACTTGCTTACACAACCTATGATGTTTGCTATCACCTCACATAATTGGAAATTAAAACTTCACTTGTACATGGAGAAAAAAATCAAATGGGTAAATTGGACCAAGTTAGTTTGGGGAGTAAATCAAATCAAACATTAGTTTAGGGGTTATCTAGACATAAGACAAACTTGAGGAGAGTAATTTGAATCTTTCCCTTTTACTCTTATGTGATAGTTTTATGAGTTCCATAATATTTTTGGCGCTTTACAGTTTTATTAATCCTTTTAGAAAAAGAAACATTTAAACATTTAGGAAATTAATGAGCAATATGTTTTTATCATCCTGATAATGCATAGAAGCTGGTTAAATTATTGCTACATTAAGCAAACCACCAAGTTCAACAATATACTTTGGAGGTTTGGGGATTGATCTTTTTTCTACAAAAGGTTATATAATGCAAGATGAGATGAAGTCATAATATCAGACTGTTCGGATGCAAATAAGTTGCAGCTTATTTGCAGCACCAGCAGCTGTAGCTTCTCTCTGCTGGCACTGTGCAACGGCTGTTTTTTTGCTGCAAATAAGTTAACAGCACCAGCAGCTGTCGCTGTTTGCCTATGACCAGAAGTCCTCCAACCTCGGCGTAAAAAAAAAAACTCATTCTCCAACTCTGTTTGCTGTTTCCAGCTTTGGTTTCTGATCACTAACGGTCGAAGCTGCTCCTTTTCAGGATCTCCTCCGGAAAACAAAGGCGTCGTCTCCTGGGGGCTTCTCGGCGACTTTGGTGCTGCTTGTCTTCTTGTTATCTTCACTTCTTGGATACCTGATGTTCGGAAGCAAAGCTTAGGACTTGTTTGGATTGAAGGAATCTCACAGGAAAATTGAAGGAATTAGAAACGGAGGAAAGGAAACTGATTCGAGCGTTTGGAACAAAGGATTCGCGATGTTTAAACCTTTTCCTCCCTGAATACTGTAGCCAAACAAGCAACTTCACAGGAAAGAAAAAATTATGAATCCAATCCGATCCATTGTTTTGTTTTCCTTTGCGGAAGCCTTGAGGCAGCCATCCATTAACAGAAAAAGCGATATCTTCGAAAAGAGGAGGAAAAAACCTTCTCCGCGAGCTATAGTTAGTACTCATATTTGCCTAAATCTTATGATTCCTATGTTTTTTTACTAATTCCTCTTTTTGAATAAAATTTATATTTTGCCCCCGAGAAACAGTCTAAACTTTTTAATTCTATGTTTTAAAATCCTGTAGTTTTTTGCTTTTCATTCTACTTTATTCATGTGTTTTTTCATATTCCTCCATTTTGAATTCCTTCTCGGCCCTTAGCAAGTTAGCAGCTAACGGAAGCACATCATTTTGCGGCACCGGCACGGCTCTATCGTCTTTTGTCTAGTGCTCCTTTTTTTAGTACAGATATATATACATTAATAGTAAAATAGTCCACAATACAGACAGATAGGGTGTTTTTGGGTTTGAAGTAGTGTCCATATGAACAGATCTTCAATTTTGGAACACGTGTGTGTTTGCTAGTTCTGTTCACGTTTATACTTCTATACAAATTAATATACGATGTTTAGAACAAGCTAATCAGTTCGAACTACTTCATCCTCCCTTGCTTGAATTTGCGCCAGAGCCAGAGGCACAAACATAGACGCCTTCCCTTGCAGTAAGGAATTTGCTTGTATAGAATTCACCAACTTTTTTTTTTGCTAAACCAAAAAAAAAACGTCCCCCCGTTGAAAAGGCACCAATGCATCCAAAAAAAAAATATACCTCAAAAAACGACACATTCAAAACGGACTGTCCAGATTTAATTATAAACCTTCTCCGTCCTAGCTCGCTTAGATCCAACGGTCCAGATCACGTGTGTACCTCCTCGTCCTCCTGCGCGCAAACGAACCCCAGCCCCGCACGCCCCTCCGACACCGCCACCAGGGATCGAATCCCAGAAGCACCCAATGACTATGTTGCCTTTTTTTCCCCGAAAAAATGAATCATGAACGCTTTCCGCAATTCCCTGCCGCTGGAGGAGCCGACCAGCCGCCGCCGGGCAAGGCGAGGCCGTGGCAGAGGCGTTGCAGGGCGGGGACGCGGCAAGGACGGTGAGGCGCGCTGCCGCTAGGCGAGGCCGCGCGGCCGGGCGGGGCCGTCGCTTGCTTGCCCTCCTCCTCCGCGCGCCTATGGTCGCCGTGGACGGGGAGAGGGAGAAGGCGACCATCGCGTCGCACCTGCTGTACGATCGAGCGCCCCCTGGAGGCGCACGTCGCCTGCCTCCGCGTTGCCACGCCCTCCGACTAACTCCCCCGCATTGACGCACAGATCGCCGCGTGCCCCCCGCCGCTCTCCGTCGCGGCCGCGGGAGGGCCGTCCGGCGACGAGGAGCTTGACCTCTTCATGGTACGGCTCGAGCCCCCTGCGGGCTCCTTCCTCTGCATCCGGCCGCGTGCCCCTCGACTCGTACGCCCTCTGCTCCGCGCTCCACTCCACGCCCTCCGCCGCGGAGACGCTCCACGCGCTCGCCTCCAAGTCCGGCTGGTTCGGTAGCGTCATCGTGTCTTGCGCGCTCGCCGCGTCATACGGCGGGTCCGGCCGGTACCTGGACGCCCAGAGGCTGTTCGACGAAAGTCCCGCAAAGAACGGCGTCTTCGGGAACGCCGTTCTCGCTGATTACGTGGGCGCGGTTAAGTGGGCGCCCGTGCTGGGGTTCGCGAGGAGTTCGCAGAGCTACTGCTGCCGGTCGACGGGTACACGATGACGGCTGTGGTGCTGGCATGCAGCGAGGTGGCAAACGTTGATCTTTGCGTCCAGGCGCACGGGCATGCGATCAGGAGGTACAGAGGTGGATTTGTTCTTGGTCAGCGCATTTGTGGACATGTATGCCAAGTGTGGGGTTATCCGCCAAGCAGAGCGTGTGTTCGGCCTTGCACAACAGGAGACTGATGGCAGAGGTGTCGTGTTTTGGACATGTTGAATGCTTATGCACGGCATGGACAGTGCAAGGAGGTTAGTAATCAACGGTCTTTGTTATTCAGATTTGATTCAGTTGGCTGTTGGTATTGAAATGCTGGAGTCTTTGTTTTCGAATCTTGGTCCGAAGGTTAGTAGCTAAATTGTTATTCCCTTACCGTAAGTATTCTAAAATATAATTTTCACAGTGGTCCAAAGATAAGCATAAGATTGTATCTGCAGTAGGAACAAAGATACTCGTCGTTTATGGCTTGCTGGTGGTGGCTAATTTCTTCTTTTCATTTTAAAGTTTGCATACATGTGTACTTTCATTAAAAAGGAAACTTTTTTTATGGCTTGTTTTATGTGTTGTGAATTGCTCGTACTGAAATCTGTACATTTGGTTAGATTTAGTGGCACAATTAAGATTGTAAAATATTCTACAACAATGTCATTTCTGCTTTAGGTTCAATTATGTTTTTTGTTTTGAAATTTACAAAAGGTGCAGCAGACATTGTTGAGATTTATGTTTGTGTAGGTAATAGAAGCAATGATGGGCATCAGGTGTTTCTTGATACTGAAATGAGATGGTGGCAGTGCTGACTCTGGTAATAGATGCACTTATCCTTTGGAGTCTTTTCATTAAGATGCTGAGAGCAATGCTGGTCCTGATCTCAATTGCTTTCACTTGTTGAAGGAAGTGGCTTTCAGCGTTTTGTTTGTCTTCTTAATCCGCTTAAGCCGCTCAACTTTAGACCGAGATGCCATGACCCTTTATGGAAGGGAAAAGGGTACTCTGTAGTCCATATCTGAAACATCTCGGGGGTTGAATTTTGCTGTTGATAAGTGGAGGTATAAAGAAACTGGTGATAACTATAATGATGATATTTATCTTTGTGTCACTGCTTCCTTTGTTGATGCGGATTAGAAGTTGCAGAGAGGAATAGTGGGGTTTAAATTCATGGAACTAGATGGCAACCCGATCTTCGCTGCGGGCAGGCTGAACTATAGTTTAACTTTTGTAATAAATAATGCACATATAAAAGGTGTATATGTCTGCATTCCCTGTGTTTACAGTAGAGCTGCACAAAGCAAAAGGCCAACATGTAACTTGTTAATATTTACACTTGTCTTGCGAACAGTGGTTGATATTGACATGATATACCCAAAGGAACATCTCGCTGAACTGTTTACCGTACTGTATCATTACTATTCACGAAATTATACATGACATTGGTTGTATCAAGGTAGGTAGGTAGTGTTTTTTCTCATAGCTCCAGTAGTTAAAGACATCATGCCTGTATCAGTTGCCATGCTCACATGTGAACCACAAAATGAAGATGGAGAGGCTGGAAGCAGCAGTACAAAATATAGAAAGATGAAAGGAACTATAATATAGTTAGGGTAAATAGTAAGCACAATGGTCACCTGTAGCTGGATTACATTGGTCAGCTTTCATGTAAGATATTACTGCTGTGACAAATGAGGAAAAATACCCCAAACTATGTTTAAAGGCATCAACATATTGTTAAAAAAACAGGCAACCATTATCGATTTTGAACGGAAAAAATGTAGATACCCATTAGTGGGTTATGTATATCATGAAGTAAACGATTTCTTAAGAACGTAACTGAAGACTATTATTTATATGTAAAGTAGGGAAGCCCTGATAAATGCACTGATCTGAACAAATATGAGCTAGAAAATTAGTACTTTTTTTTACATATTTCAGGTTTGCGATGTACCAAATGATACTAAATATTTTCTGAAGAAATGCAAAAATTGCATCGAAACGATAGCTAAGCCTCAACCTGAAGTCTGCATTGAGCATTCTGCACAGCTCGTTAGCCTTTGACTCTCTAAGACAGATTCATCATCTTCCTCTATGCAGTCCCTATGTCAAAGGAAATGGCATGGTCAAAAATCAGAATGTGGAATTGTGGTGTCATGATATTTCAGAAGATATTACCTTTCCTATAGTCAGAGCATCAGGAAGCCACCAGATCAGCCCTTGTGTACTATGCTATTTTCAAACAAACTGTGCCTTTATGCATATAAGGTCGGCCAGGACATTCCATCATGCAAAAAGGTTACTGAAATCAATTAAGATTAGAGTGAGTCCATATAAAATTAGAGGAAAAAGCAGTAAACCTTTGCATTGAGGTATTTTTAGTAAGATCACACCATTTCCTATTAAGGTTCTGTTTAACAGCGGCTTGCTACTGTTCGCTTGAACTTATCAGCCGGCTTATCAGCTAGAATCTACAGTATTTTTCTCTCACAATAAATCAGCTTCAGCCGGCTTATCAGCCGACTTTAATACCAGCCGAACAAGACTACGAAACTGATTCAGTAAGCAAGGTTTGGAGTCTCTTAGCTCAAATTTGTATGGGACAAAAAGGTGGAGGCATGAAAATCATGTAGCATTTCACTATGATTAGTAAACAGAATAAACGAATTTGGAGTACATTGATCTAAGCATGAGCAGTCCTTACATTCCATAATGTGTTATTGAGGTTCTCAATGGATCAATCCAACATTCCAACATATCATAATGTTGTGAAATATTAGTACTAGCAGTTCCAACATTAGTTTGGTTGCCTGAAAAATCGAAGGCATATCGAGCAAAGTAATGAGGAAATTGTGGGAACTTTAAATGGGCTAATTCCATAATAACGACAGGTAACACATGGTCCTGCAATTAAGATATGGTCTGCAAGTAGGTGTAAGAAGGCACAATTCAGGAGGTAATCACACGTCCTGGATGAAAGACTGAATTCCATGCTCTCCCAGCACTCTCCCTATTGTTGGGCTTTATACATATAGTGGAGCACAGAATTGAGGGGAGCAAAACTTTGGTTATGAGCAAATAAGGGAAGAGTAGTGTCAGACCTGAAAAAAGATGACCACATTTGATGTTTTTGTGGTGAACTAACCACAGCATGCAATTTGTAGGAACCATCCTCTTGCGGGGACAAAAAAAAAAAAAAATTGAACAGGTGGCACATAACAAAAAATAAAATAAAAATGTAGACAGAGTCACAAAAGAGGGGAAAGGTGCTGTGGCAACCTTCACAAGAAATTGACAATTAACAGAGATCAGGGAGAGGATACCCGATAATAAATAAATACATCATCAATTCAAATAAACCCATGAACGTGATCTGCACCTCTGAAGTCTGAACCGAAGATAGATCATGCCCTATATTCCCAACTCAGTTGGGTTCGTAATTTTCATGACAGGCCATACACAGCACAAATTGCGCCAGCCTGCAACCACAGCAGCAGCACACAGTCCAGTGATTGCCTGAAAGAATACATGCCACCACAATTAAAATGTATGTTTGAGATCGACAGATAAATTTACATATTGAAGACTGTAACTGACTAATATGACTAATGCCGAATCAAGGTAGGAAACCTAATCATGCAACACAAAGATGCTTCTCCATGAAACATGGGGGCAGAACACGGGAAATAGCTCTGCTCTCCTCCTTCCAATATCCAGATGAGCAGAGGAGCAAGAGGCAGACGGCCGCTGGTGGGTGCCGGCCAAGAGGGGGGCAAGTATTGCGGCAGCAGCGCAGCATGATGGAGAGGAACACTGAACGGCTCAGTACCTCATGGAGAGAAAGCGGGTGCGGCATGTACACTTGTACAGGGAGGAGGGAGTCCGAATGGGGACGACGGCCGCGCTCGCTTGGGAACGTACCGGGAGGAGGGAGGCCGGAGGCGGCGATGTGGAGTTGGGGACGACGCTCGTGCTCGCTGTGGCACGTACGGAGGGGAGGGAGGCCGGATGCGGCGATGGGGACGACATCCGCGCTTGCTACAGCAGGTACGGGGAGGAGGGAAGGCGGAGGCGGCGATGGGGACGGCTCCTGCACTGGCGGCGGGCGGAGCCGTCCAAAGGAGGAAGGGAGTGCGAGCAGGTCGTGCGGAGGTGGCGGTGATGGAGGAGTAGGTCGTGTGGATAAGGAGGCCTCGTGCCCTGGAACGGAGGCACGAGGCACTGTATTACTGTAGGAAGCCGGAGGCCGTGGATGGAAGAATCGGACGACCCAGGAACAGACCGGCACTGTATGACTGTGACGGCTGAGTAGGGAAAATACGAACGGATATCAATGATATTATATTTGTTTTTATATTTTTATTTGAATTTGGATTCGAATACGGACAGTGTCAACCATATCGGATATGATACGATTGGATATCGACATCATAAATATGCGATTTGAGTATTCGGATACCGATACGGTATCGGATGTTGAATATCTGGACTCGAATACGAATAAATCTGAACCCCTTTAAACGGATTCGGTCTTGAATACGGTCGGAAAATATCCATACCGTTTTCATCCCTGCGGCTGAGGTAAAGATTTGATTTGATTTGATATGATGATGATGATTTCCTAATGATGCCATATATGTTGCTGGAACTATAACATTGTGTTTTACTGAATTGGAACTTTGACATAGCCATAACTTTGGATAATGATACTCCGACCAATGTTGAATATGAAGCTTCAATGTCTGCCCAGGTGTTTGGTTCCCCAACTGAAATTTAGTCCCTATCACATCGAATGTTTGACACTGATTTAGAGTATTAAACATAAACTAATTACAAAACTAATTACACAGATTGAGACTAATTTACGAAATGAATCTATTAAGTCTAATTAGACTCATGCTTAGTTTTTCTAATTAGTATCTAAATACCTGATGTGACATCTATTAAACTTTAGTCCCTAGATCCAAACACCCATGTTCTGCATGATAAGTGAAAGTTATCGTGGAATGGTGAGGTCCGGGATGGGGCCTAGGAGGGCGTTGGACATGAGGCTCACCATGTGCATGCTTCAATGCCTTGACAAGCAGTGTTTGAGAGAGCCATAAACTAATTACAAAACTGAGAGGGAGCTCATGAGGTTGAGGCCCTTCAATTAGACCAGCTTGGTCATGTGGTCAGTGCATGTTGCATGATAAGTGAAAGTTATCGTGGATGACGGTGCACGCCCGGGAGGGAGGAGCAGAGAGCTCAAGCAAGGTGGCATTAGGGCCCCACGGATGGCGACGACGGCATCGGTATGGTGGACCCAGTGGAGGAGGAGGAGGAGGAGGAGGAAGCAGGCTGACACATCTGTAATAACCATTGATTAGGTATAATAGATTGCTTTAGATTTACCATATTTTTCAAATTCATAAGATAAGGTTAGTTGTTTACCAAGTTTGATGAATGCCTATTTAATGTGTTACCCTAAATGTCACCGTAGCATTAGCACGGGCAATATACTAGTAAATATAAGTGCTCTTTTCTACAGATTTGGTCAAACTTAAAATAGTTTGACTTAGGACAACTCTAGAACTGGATTTAATTTTGGATAGACGGAGAAATTTTGTGACATGTAAATGTTTATAATTGTGAAGATATGGCAAGCCAAAATGTGTGAAGAAAAAAGAGACATGGACTTATGAATATATATAGTCTCATTGTGTTGGCATGCATTTATATTATGAAATATCATTGAACCAAGTGAAGAGACGAGCCAAGTCAAACATTGTGATGCATAATCCTTGAAATATGACTTAGACATGATTAATGATTACTTGGAATTTCAAGTTGAATCAAAGGTAAACACAATTATCAAATAAATAATGAGACATTAGGTAATGTCTATGGATTGTTCTCACTCAAAGTGCTTGTTGAATCAAATCAAGAAAAGAAAAACATGGATATTTTGGCAAATATTCAAGCGAGAATAGTATTTTTGATGAAATGGATTTCAATTTTGTCTTTAATATTGATTCAAAAAAAACTATGACTTAAGGATGGCTTAATAGAGTGAAGATAGCAAAGAAAGAACTTCAAGATACTAAGGCGAAGGGCAAGCAATGGCTTGAGCACCGAGCACTATGGTTAAAGTGAAGAAGAAAGTTTGCATTGAATTGAGGAACCAATCAAGCTGCTAGGAGGCATATTTTAAGAAGAATCAAATAATTGTTGGATCATATGAAGAGGAGATTTGAAATCATGAAGTGAACTCATATGTCATATGTGTTGAAATGATTCAAGTCACTTGCTCAAAATGGAGACAGTTTGGTTTCAACTGTTGACAAGAAAAAATGAAAAGAAATGACATATGTGAAGACTTAAAACTCACACAGATCAAAATTTGATTTTTTTTTCATTTGATCTTGATTTGAAGTGCGTTGACAAGTCTCTAGTCCAACGCCGGCCAAGTGCCTTGGGAATCGCTTCTTTCCTCCCTTCATCTGTCCCCCAAGGCCTAGGCCTGCCGCGTTGTAGGCTGGTCGCTTCTTTTCCGAGCTATAAGAAGGCCGGTCCATGTGGCTCAGATTAAAGTTGATAGGCCGGCCCATAGGAACAAATGATCAATGGCGGCCCAAAAATTTGTGTCTGAAATATTCAATTCATTCATTTTCATTTCCATGCTAATAAACGAAACCATAGTACTTATGTAGGTTTTGCTAGTGGCTTAGAAACTTCTCGTCCAATGGTGCTAGTTTAATCTGTAATGCCTTTTTTTGAAATAAAAGGCAGGAGCTCTGTCACTCAATTAAGTAAGAGAAAGAGTTTAGAGTTTTATCCATATATGGTGCCCACTGGTGCAATACACGACGGTCCTAGGACCCAAGTAGGAGAGATCAAATCCTCCTGCTAAAAGGATTCACCCAGCAAACGTCATCGCCTTATGTCTTTGCATTATATCCTCTTTTGCTAACGAGGTCACCTGCTGCGCCGTCATGTGGGCGTTTTCGAAGATCGTCCTATTCCTCTCTTTCCACAGGTTCCACACAATGTAAATTAGTATTCCATTGAACCGCTTGCGTTCCTGTTTGGGCACCTTGCTTGCCTCTTCCTCCCACCAATTAGCCATGCATGTAGGGTCCTGTTGTGGGAGATGCACCCTGAAATTCTCCCAGGAGAGAACCTGGTCCCAAACAGCTCTTGCAAAAGGACAGAGCAAAGATAGATGAACTCCTGTCTCCAGTTGCCCTGCACCATGCTATTCCTCTGGCCTTGGTTCTTGCGCATCCTATGGATGATCGCAGCCACGCCACATTCATTTTTAATCATCATTTGCTTGACATCCAATGCCTTTGCACCACTTACGCACGCTACGCACCGTCTGATACGCCAAGATCCCAAGCTAAAATAGCACCCAATGATCATATGAAAACAAGCGTGATCGAGTGCGAGCCAGCCCATGCAGCGATCTTGGCCATTTGCGGAGCCAACCGAAGCCGTGCACAAAATATTCGAGACCGTATAGGGGAAAACACTAGTTATACGCATGTAGGCATAATATTCCAGATCGACTCTTCCTAACCGGCTTCACATGGATGCATATATGATGGCCGGCCGGGCCCGGGTTCACATGAACGCTATTGTGCCTAGTGCACCGATTTCTTAAATCCCAAGGCTCGACTATAAATACCCCTGGTAGTTGCACCGTGATCAAAGCATCGCAAACAAGCTAAGAGCTCTCTAACTACATTGATTACAGTGAAGGAGCAGGCTAGCTTGTGATCGAGCAATGGCGTCCAAGGCGTTCGCGCTGTTCCTGGCCGTGAACCTGGTGGTGCTGGGCGTAGCCAGCGCCTGGACGTGCCCCCCGCCGCCGCCCACTCCGACGCCGCCCACGCCGACGCCGACGCCGACGCCGCCCACGCCGACGCCGCCGGCGCCGACGCCGTCGTCGTCCGGCACGTGCCCCCGCGACGCGCTGAAGCTGGGCGTGTGCGCCAACGTGCTGGGCCTCATCAAGGCTAAGGTGGGAGTGCCGCCCGCGGAGCCATGCTGCCCGCTGCTGGAGGGGCTCGTCGACCTGGAGGCCGCCGTCTGCCTCTGCACCGCCATCAAGGGCAACATCCTCGGCATCAACCTCAACCTGCCAATCGATCTCAGCCTCATCCTCAACTACTGCGGCAAGACCGTGCCCACCGGCTTCAAGTGCTGAGCGCCTCGATCACCAACGCCTCGACGTGCGTTGCCTCCCTTACATGCATGCATGGGCGCGCACGTACGTGACACGTCTTCTCCTTTCGGTTCGGTTTGAATGATGCATGGTTTGATTGCTTTTCCACGTACGAGGTACGACTAGTCTGCATGCATATGCATGCATGCACATATGGCCGTGCTGTCGATTTGTAATTTTCCAGCCTCTTTCGTCCCTGCGCATTTGTTGTAACGTCCCTGTGCATTTGTTGTAAAGAGCCGGCGATCACTTTGTATGCCGGTGCTAAGTTCCAATCAAGTTTGGTTTGCGGTTTATTTCAGTGTTTTGCATGCATGTTCTGGTTATATTCTTGCCGTACTTGAGCGTATGAATATGTATTGGCTACCACGTACTTTTTAGGAGTGTACTAGTGTACTCCTCCTATCTTGAGTCTCACTATGCGATGCGTGTTGGTAAGCTTTCTTAAATCCGACTAAATTTATAAAAAAAATATTACCAACATTTATATCTCCACATAGTTTATTATGAAAATATATTCGGTGATCTATCTAATGATACTAATTATACACCATAAATACTAATATTTCCTTATATATATAGTCAAAATTTAAATTGTTTGACTTCTCGGAAGGTGAGAATGATATTCTTTATCGGACGGATGGAGTACACATGTGTCAATATATACTCCCTCCGTCCCTGAATAAATCAATTCCTAGAATCCGTGCAAATCAAATCATTTTAAGTTTGACTAACTATATATGAAAGAGTAGCAACATCTATGACCTAAAAAATGAGCACATAATAAAAATATATTATATGATATATGTAACGATACTAATTCGAAGTCATAAATCTTGACGGGTCTTTCTAGAAATTCGGTCCAAGTTTAAAAAGTTTAACTTAAAACAACTCTAGAAATCTATTTATTTTGGACAGAGAGATATATTATTATCAATTAGTTATTAGTCTCGGTTGGGAACAAGTTAATATATGTATACTACGTGCACAGGCGAGCACAAAGCTACAGAGGTTTGGATCCGCGTT